GAAGGAAGGAAGGAAGGAAGGAAGGAAGGAAGGAAGGAAGGAAGGAACCAGCAGAACAACTAAGCTGGTTCATGAAAAGTTTGAAGAATGGGAAAAGATAGGCTGAACTGAAGACAGTAGGTCGGAAACTAAGCAGGTTAATTTGTATACAGGACAAAAACCTAATTTTTGGGTTTTTCTTCTTCTATAAAGCAGAAATAAAAAATATAGGTCACACCTTATCAACTTTCTCTAAGTCTGTGACTGTACATGTGTACTCTCATCAATTGTTGCATTTCCCCGAGGTCAAATAACTTTCTTTTTTTTTTAGTTTATTTATTTTTGAGAAAGAGCGTGAGTGGGGGAGGGATAGAGAGCCAGGGGGACAGAGGATCCGGGTCTGTGCAAGCCCAATGCGGGGCTCTCGAACTCACAAACTGTGAGATCATGACTTGAGCTGAAGTCAGACACACAACTGACCTAGCCACTCAGGCACCCCAAATTACCTTCTAGCTAGCATGTTTGAAACCCCTCCAAGGTGAAATTATAAAGATACACACTCATCATTTTGTCTTATTCTTATTTAAGATATTTTTCTTTTTTTTTTTTTAATTTTTTTTTCAACGTTTATTTATTTTTGGGACAGAGAGAGACAGAGCATGAACGGGGAGGGGCAGAGAGAGAGGGAGACACAGAATCCGAAACAGGCTCCAGACTCTGAGCCATCAGCCCAGAGCCCGACGCGGGGCTCGAACCCACGGACCGCGAGATCGTGACCTGGCTGAAGTCGGACGCTTAACCGACTGCGCCACCCAGGCGCCCCTTATGATATTTTTCTACATACTTTCCTATAGTAGCTCTTAGAATATTTAATTTGCATTAAAAAATTTTTCAATTTATATCCTGTGCTGTATAAAAATAGATTTGAGGTGGTATAAATTACAGGCTAAATTAAAGGCAAAACAATAAAATCAATAAAGTAAAAAAACTAGAAAGAATTGATAGGATGCCATAATTAAATTTTAGATTTGTTTGTGCATTTCTAGGTAGGGTAAAATAATTTGCACAGTAAATTATCTCTTTATAAAGGAATAAAAATTCTGTTCCTGAGGTGGTTCTTATTTAGTTTTGTTTTTCCTCCTCCTCCTCAATTCTAAAAAAAACAAAGTGTCATATGGAGCTTCAGATGGATAACATACATGTAGTGGCCCTTGTTCTCAAAATTTTACAGTAATTACAGGCACAGATTACCAGTGACTATTTGTTACTGAACCTTTTGATCAAAAGGTTCTATATTCACATAGAATGTATTTGTCAAAAACAGATTTTTATTTGAAGTATCTTCAGTGAGCAAAAAACCCTTCATAATTCAACCTCACATTCCATATGTAACTACAAAGTTCCTTAAATAAAATAAGCATGCTCCGTCAGCCATTTGGCATAGATCTTTAGCCAGGAGGTAGGCAAGCATTTGTCTAAATATCTGCACTTGTGTGACTGTACTTGCTCACCTGGAGGTAAGAGGCAGTGCTGTATCCTCAGAGGGATCCCTCTGTGTAGATGTTCACTCATCTCCCAGGCACTGTAGTAGGAAGTGTCTCCCATCCCCTGCACTATCTCCAGGAGACAGTGGGGTACTCTCTTCATGAGCTAGGAGAAGTCAGTTGAGTTGCTGACATGATGGCATAGTTGACTTATGTATCAGAATTAAAGTTCATCAAAACAGAGCTTTTCATTTATAAAATTAGATAGAATCCATAACAATAACGGCCAATTTCCTAGAATATTGACATGCTTGGTACCTTTCTCAAAGAGGTTCAGTCAGTTGTAAGGCTTCATCAAATAATGCAGATTGTGATGTCTTGAGGGCTGGGCTTTGTTTTAGTTTTCTCTGTTTTAATGGTTTGACACGGCACACAGATGGTTCCTAGAAAAGAGTAACAGAAGGTTGTAATGAACTGATGAGCAATGCTTTTTGCTTAAGCACTTAAGTCAACTAAAGTTTGCTGCAGTTAAAAATAACAGGATACAACTGAAAAAAGAAACTGTCTTAGCATGGGTTTTTGAAGCCCACCCCCAAATACCATTATTAGTTTCACTGGCTCTTAACAATGACCTACAAAATTGTACCTCATATTGTGCCATCTTGGTTCTTTGTTTGATGCATACATGGGTTGTTTCCCACATTAAACTATAAGCTCTTTGAGGGTAGACCCATACATACCAGGCCATAAGGATGGGTACATAATGGATGCTCACATAATACATACTTGTTAACTTGCTACATTTAGTGACCCTGTACAATAGGGAACAAAGGCGGTGGATAAAGGAAAAGAAATATCTGGAATAAGGATGGCAAATACCCGTTAAGATTCTCTCCCAAGTTACACTCAGAGCAGGCATGCTGAATGATCATTGTTCCCTCCTCAGAAGTGTAAATTCTGCCTTCGATTCTTCACCACAGTGCTCCTGACAGGTGCAATAAAAATTCAGAGTGAACACATGAGGAGAAAAATGTTTCCTATCCTTGATCACTGTCATTATACAGATAGCTCTGATTTGCTTGAGCCTGTTTTTCAAAATACAGTTAAGCACAACAAGACAAAAACAAAAACCTATGAACGATGCAAGATAAAGTTTTAAAAAATGCAGCTTGTTTTATTTTTATATAAACTAAAACACCAGAGCTCATTGATTCCTATATTAAATACATAAATTATAAAATAACCATTCATAAAACTTTACATACAATAAATTGATTCCCATCTCTACGGTAATACATACATTACATGTACATGTTCAGTGTACTTCAGAGGGATCATCCTGGTGAAACTCAGTCAATTTGTATTTCTCTCGCATTAATAAACAAGCACTGAACCAATATATGGAGTCATGCTAATGAGATGAGATAAAGAACCCCAAATGAGGCAGTTGATTGGATGAAAGCTCTGAGAAATTAGTCCCCTGGCCACATTAGTACAGTAGGCATCTGGGGAATCATGTATTCAAATACACTGGCTCTCTACTTGAGTCCCCAAAGAATTGTATCTTGAAGGTTAAAACACGCATAAACCCTTCTTGGAACGAGATTTTTAGCTGAAAAAATAATGGGACTGTGGGATAATATTAATGCTGTAGATCATACTGGACTTTCTGTTGCTCTTTCTAGAAAACCAGTGGCATCACTACAAGGCTGGTTCCCGGCCTGAGTAATTGGAAAACCAATCAGTGTTCTTTGCCTCAGTCAACAACAGGGAATCGTGGTAGTGAACTGAAGGTAGGGGAGGAAGGAGAAGAGGCAGGGAAGGGGGAGAGCACAGACACCAGATGCTAACCCCAAATATGAGTTACCTAGCAGCATCAGAAAAACCCCTTCCTGAAGTCCTCAGTCCTAGGACAGAAGTACACATCTAGTAAGTGCTCACATCATCATACTATGTACAGAATATATATGCGCATATATGTACATATTTATAAAAGTGTTTGGATTTTGATCTGTCTCATTGTAAGAAGTTACTATAGTTAATGGGGGAAAATAGGCACATTTTGTGAGATGTCAATCAAAGGTAAGTGATTGCTGTTACTACTGTATGCTGAAGATGTGCTTTTGGGAAATTGCATCACCCACACTTTAGCAAGTTTGTAGAATCTTGATTGTAGGCAAAGTTGGACACAAACTTCTTTAGCTACACCACCTCCATCCTACAGAACTTTGACATAACAAGGATGGAAATACAAGCACGGATGCAAAGATCTCAATGAGAGAACACAAATACAAAATCAGGGAACTTCACCCAGTCGGTCACCTGCATCTCTGAGTATGATACATTAGGTTGAATATAGCAAATTATAATCCTTCTATTTTTGTCACATTGCTCCTTGAAGTAGATCTTTAGTAACTTGATTAAACATTGGACTTGGACCTTCAACAAGAGGTTTCTTTAGGAAGAACTGAACTACCAAATTAAAGGCAACAAAGGAATGTGAATCTGCCCGGCCCAGTACTAAAATGAAACCACAGGATCAACTCCACCCTTCTGTTATGTCTGAATCCTCTTGCCAATACACCTGAAATTCAGTCTCAAGGTAATATATTATATAGAAGTGACAAGGCGGTTGAACAGAATGGAAGCTTTTGTCCTTTAAGACCTTGTGACCTACTGTTTTTCCATTTAGAAAGGAGAAGTCCACTTAAGGAAAGGCTCGGGCCCATCCTGAAAGCATGAACTCATGACATAAATAATCGTCTAAGGTTTGCTTTGATTACTGATCTCTCAGATGTTATATTGAGCTTTTTCAATATAGTAGATAATGCATTGTATACATACACCATACGTATACTGTATATATGTGTATATATGTACATATATAGTGCCACTCTTTGACAGATCAAAAAAATGCAATATTTAGAAAATAAAATGGCTATGCTGTCCATCTATTTCGATGTAACATAACACACATGATCCAATTATTCAAACATCAACACAAATTATAAATATTATTTTTACAGCTCCCATGAAAACCTAGGCAGTTTTTAAAAAACACTTCATTTTGAAACAATGAACTTTCAAATTACATTGAAGACATTGAACATGTGAATCACACAGTGGGTTTACAGAAAAAGGCGACAATAAATACGCAAAAAGGAACAAGTTTATCAAAGATTTAAACAAAAATTAGTTGCAAAAAATACTGTAGCAAAAATTATTTGGCAAAATTGTATCTTCTATATTACCAGAGAATGAATGTCCCCTTTCTACTCCAGCGATGACTGATGAGCCCTCTACATCATTTCTATCCTCCTGAAGAACCAGGCAACCTATGTGAACGCTTATTTGTGAATGGCAGAAAGATCAAAGCAAAATTTATTCTTCCACCTCTACAACCTCCCTATTGGCAATGATTTCATTTATATGACATAGGTTAAAAGGTATCTGATACTTATTTTCAGCACATTCTAGTGTTTCCTAAAATAAAATGTGGGTGACCAAAAAAAAAGGTTAGACAGTCAAATTAGTAATAGATGCTTGATAGTATAGCCAAATAATTTTTGATTTTGTTTTTCCTTCCTCATGAAAATGTTCCTGCCATGGATAACTGTGCCAGAGTGGGACTTTCATTTTAGGGCAAACTATTTTTTAATATTATAAGTTATGTTTAATTTTCCAAGAGATGAATACTTTGCTAAGAAAGATTAGGCAAATGAGCCCTGAAGAATGCTGTTCTGTTACTAACTCGTTGGCCAAATGTGTCAGGAGAGTCAAGATGCAGAAATTAAAGATCAAAGTGGGGATTATGTACTCTCTGTAAGAAGTTCAGCCACAGTAAGCCTCTTCATTACTAATGAGACACTCTTTACTGTTGCTAAACATTATCTGCAAGGGAAGCATTCATTTAAATATAACTCATTTCTGTGGATCCATGAGTGAAACACACATTTACAATTTTGTTAATTTTTTTTGTAATTGTTGAGTAACAGAGAGATGTACCTACCAAAATATTCAGCCTCATTCAAAGATATGTTAATTATGAGGATCAGAAGTAAGACTTGGTAAAATATCACCATTTAGCCTAAAATCTAGAGAACTTTGCTCATCTCTTGAATGTTAAACAAAGAATCTCTCCTTCTGCATTCACCCTAAAAACATCAAAAGCTGCTTAGATGGTCATCCTACCTGTATTGCTCTTGTATGATTTTCTGTGTGACACAATCAGATTTATAACAGATAAGGTACATGATCAAGCCACACTAGTTTACAAATGTTTCTGATCATTTAAACCAAAGTCAGTGTTTAGATATAAAATTTAATATAAAGTTTCTTGGTGGAAAAAGCACGATGAAGAGAAGGAAAGTAGGTATGATATAGCAGATGGAGTATGAATTTGCTCAGATGGACCCTGGAATGGCCAAGAAAGAGCAACGGAAGACAGAAGTCAAAGACAGGGAAGAATACTTTATCCTCCTCCACATATTCTGAGACTTGAAAGGGCTGGGTCACAGACGGTAGTGGCACCTTCTTTTACATTGTCTGCACAATGAATGTGCTGTTCATATTTAGTGTAGAAACTACCTAGTTGAATACAGAATCCAGCAGAAGGATATTTTATATATTCCCAGTAGGATATATTACTGTACATCTCCCCAAATTAAAGGGATAATCAGACTAATTATGTGATAACTATCAGTTTACTCCAAGCCTTAATTTCATAGTTGGCTCTCCTAAGATAAAAGTGGAGTTTGGTATCATGGCATGCATATGCAATAGAGAGAGCTAGGAGATGCTTATCAGTGAGATGATATTCTTCTATCTTGTTCAAAAGCATGAGATGATCTATTTACTATAGGTTATCAGAGATCCTGGCTCTGGATCTCTCAACCTTTATTGCTAGCAATATCCCAGGTAGTTTGATGGGAAAGCTTCAGTGCTGCAGTGCTTAGATTTAACCAGATGGAAGCACTATTTTATGACACAGGGGACTCTTTCTCAACAATATAAGAAAGTCAGATAATACAGCAGTCATAATTTTACAAAGCACTTTGTGCTACTTTAAGCACCTCTTGTTTGAGAATTGCAAAAAAAAAAAAAAAACAACTTTATGAAAAAGCATTTAACCTCATTTTGCAGATGAGGAAACTGAGGCACAGAGAGGTTAAGTGACTGGGCCAAAGATACCTGGATCAGCAGTAAATATGAGGACAAAAAGTGGAACCCCAGCATTCTAGCCTTTCTTGCCTATTCTTCAGTTATTGTTCTGGCTCTGAAAATGCCAGTGCTAAAACCAAAGAATAAGATACTGAACTCATGTCTGGAAGGATTTGTGTAGCATTTCATAGAAAGAGTTTCTGGTTCCCTACACACATTCTTTAGGCATGGGAGATCTAGCCCTGTAAATAAAACCTTGACAATTTGAAAAATTGAGGCTGTTTTGTTATCTACAGTCAATGAGGTGTAAAATTAGGTTTCAGGAACATTTATTGGCTCTCAGAGCTGAATCCAAGACTAAGTATTACATAACTTAGGAAAAGTACCAGTCTTCTAATTGCCTCTGGTAGAAAATGACCTTATCATAACATATGTTGCTTCTGTATAAAAAAAGTAGAGCTGTCTTGCTGTGGTCAGCTCTCTGGGGGAAAAAATGTTATCAGTCTAAATGACAAGAGGTCAGAATGCTCTAGGCATATCAGGATACTTTAAAAAATAATCATCATTTTATTTAATATTCACATCTCTGTGGCAAACTCAACTGTTGGTAGAAGTTTACTTATCGCCTCTATTGTGTGTTTTTACTCAAATCGTATAACATATTTATTTGCAGGCATTTTAAGCAGCCATTTGAAAACCGGTCTTTTAGAAATGGATTCAAAGATGCTCTCTGGCCTGTGTTCCCTATAGACGTTGGCATTCGAAAAAGAACTACGTCAGGGAGCTTGTGATTTAGAGCATCGTCTTCTTAATTTTCGATAGCAATGAGATCAGTCTGTTCGTGGAGGAACACAGATGTGACAGAAGGCCAGGGAAGCATCAAATCTGCTTTTATTTCTTATGTTACATTTGCCGAGGTCCTTTGCCTCGCCTCGTTGCCAGTTTAGTTAGGGCTCACTGTGATCCTCTGTCATCTGTGGAATGCATTCCACAAGCTTCACCTTTTGCAGAAAGACCAACGGGAGACTGCTTTTCTTCCCATCCACACTGTAGATGTCTCTGTTCCTGAGTTTTAAACAACAATAAAGACAAAAAGCAAATCCCTGTAGTAAGAAACCAGACTTTTCAAATGAAACATTTTATTGTAAATAGCTCCTCATAGGTATTCCTCGTGCTTCATTCCCCACCCTCCCTTGTTTTTTGTTTGTTTGTTTTGATTTTTTAAAATGTTTATTTCGGGACTAGAGTTTCCATGGGGTGTAGTGTTACATTAAAATGATCCCCCTGCACAGCAGGGGTAGAATGTTTCTTTGTAACTTTGGTTCCATGCCCAAGACACATCTTTCCTTGATCTGCTGAAACTGTTTCCATTGCTGATTTTTTTTCTTTACACAATATATGTTTATACTTCTTCTCTTCTGGTTTGACATATACATGTTTCATTAAATGCAGCATATATTGTAGATTTTCAACAGGGTCATGTAGGAACTGTCAAGTAAGAAACCTTGAATAATGGCTTTAAAATACACAGTTGTAGTCCTGGCTACAGGGTAGTTCTTAGCATTTGATCTCCCTCTCACTGTTGTAAACATTTCTGCCATCTTTGAAGGTTTAGAGGCATTTGCCTTTCTGGGGTCTTATCCATGTTTTCGGTTACTCTGTAAAACAGAGGGAAAATTCTTTAATCATCATTTCTGTCCATGGCTGAAACTGGAAAAAGCTCTTTCTTTTTCTAAAGAAAAAAAAAATTCTTTACCACCTCTTTGAGCTCTACAATCTTTTTTAAGTTACATCAATGAAGTTTCTAAGCTTAATTACTTTAAGTGAGAAAACAGAATGATCTATTTTAAGGGTTATTGCAACATAATGCACGTAAAGCAATTAACAGTTCTTGTTTCATAATAAGTGGCCTGACATATTAGCAATTATGATTGTTGCCTTTTCTTCTGTGGCCTTCTAAGACAATACCTTAAGAAGCTCTAATGAATTATATCACCAAATATAAATGTAAGATTTTAAAAAGCAGGTCTGTCTATGCCCTTCAATGACTTACTTTTATGTCACACTTCCTCCTCAACAATTGTATCCAGTACCAGATGGTCTCCACCCTGAGGTCCTGACCTGGGAACTATGCCATACAGGGTTTCTTCATTGGCTCCAGTGATCTTCCTGAAAGAGGTACGTCCCTGGACTATGCCAGTTAGGATTCCTATCCCTATTCCTCTTTAAGTCTCTATGTCTGGGTTTTTAGTTGGTTAGAAGTTAAGGACATAATAATCTCTTCCTCCAAACAGGCAAAGACAGCACAAAGGACATGCTATCATGTACTATTTAAGAACCTGGCCTGTTTCTATATAATATATATACACAAATATACTATATGTATACAAATATATATACTATATGTATATAGTATATGTATGTGTGTGTATAAAATAAATATGTAAACATAGAAAGTCTTTTACTTACAAACTTTCAATTTATACATTCTCAGAGATAAATCCTAAATTCTGTTTCAAAACACACAGGCATCATTTCTGCCTGTCACAACTGAAGTAAAGCCCATCATTTGAATAAAACCATGTTGGTTTAAAAAAAAAAAAAAGGGCTTGTAGTCTCCCAGAATATTAAATTTCTGAACAGTGAGTATCTGTAAAGGAACTAGGAGCAAAGCCACATTTATTCAAACGGGCATTCCGAATACGTGAAGCACTAGCCATCGATGACCAATTTTCAGTCAGCTAAAGGTCAGTACACTATAACTCAAACTGTATAGAATATAAATTCATCTTAGTTCTGAAAGCTGATATTACAGAACCTCAAGGATTCTTTTCAGTGGGTTCCTTAATTTCAATGAGCTTTAGTTTCCTCCTCTGTAAAATAGCGATTGCAGCTATCATTTCTGAGAATTTACTACCTGCCACCAGACTCTAAGTGAATGAGCACAGTGATGTCACTTCTGACCTGAGACTCTAGTATCCAAGTACCCACCATGCCAGTTGATTCATAGATGACACTTAGCGAATATGAGTCAGGTCCAATCGGCAGACTACTTATGTTCACCATTCTTGAGGGTTTTCTAACTGCTAGAAGGTAGTTTAGATCCTAATTTGTGGGCCACATATTTAGAGGCATATTGATTAACAAACTGTAGCCACATCCTGATCTCTAGTTACCACAAGTAACTGTAAATCCTGGACAGCAGTCACGCCCTCTTCCTGCTTCCTGTGTCTCTATAAAGGTCACCACGACCCAACCAACTGTACCATCCAGACCCCTAAGGGCCTTCATGACATCTTGCATTCCATCAGTCCTCATATACAGTTTATCATATGGTAGAATATTCAATAAAAGATAGCTCTTATTATTGCCTCCATTTTACAGATGAGGAAACTGCCCCATGAGAAGGGCAGGAAATATTGAATGAAATGTAACTGAAGTCAGAAGATCAGGGGAGGCTTCCCTGAGTCCCTGATTTTACACTGGGATGGGCAGTACAAACGGATATTAAATAGTTGACCATGGTGTGGGAAACATGTGGCCCGAGTAGATGCAAGTATGTCTCACAATGCATGATCCAGGACAGAATGCTGGCTATGTCCTAGGAAGTTGGCTTTTAATGAGTCTTTCTATGTGCCAGGTACTATATTGGTTGCTTTACTTATATAACATCAGTTAATCCTTAGGAAAATAGTAGATGCTAATACTTGCTAATTTTTTATATTAAGAAATTAATGTTTAGAGAAGTATAATAGTATTTATTTTGTAGAATCACTCTATTAAATACAATAGATATGAAATGTACTCTTTCAACCACACAAGAGATAACCTCTTCCTCTTCCTTACCATAATATCATCACTACCATTAAGAAGTATTTATTGATTGGGGCACCTGGTAGCACAGTTTGTTAAACATCCAACTCTTGACCTCGGCTCAGGTCATGACCTCATGGTTTGTGAGTTCAAGCCCTGCATCGGGCTTTGTGCTGATGGCGAGGAGCCTGCTCGGGATTCTCACTCCCTCTGTCTCTCTGCCCCTCCCCTGCTTGTGTACCCCTTCTTTCTTTCTCTCAAAATAAGTATATAAACTCAAACAAATAAAAATAAAGATAAAAATAATAAAAAAGAAGTATTTATTGATGGCCAACTATAAGCTAGGCACTATCTGGGTACTGGGGTTACAAGGACGAAGAAAACATGTATGGTCCCTGCCTTCATGAACCTATATACAAGGAGGGAGAGAGGCATTATTAATTAAAAACAGCAACAACAATAACAACAACCAAAACAAGCCAAATGCATGTGAAATGTTGCTGGGAGTGAAATCAAGGAAGATTTCCCTGCAGGAATCACAAGTGAGCTGAGTTCTGAAGGATGAGTGAGTAGGTATTTACTAGATAAAGCAGGGTTGAAAGTACCATGCACACAAAGACTGTGTGGGCAAACCCCTGTGGTAGGCAGAAGGGAGCAAGACTCATCAAGGGAGATCCTAGAGCAAGAAAAAGCCCAAAGAGACCATCTGCAGTGAGATGACACAGGGCTCTGTTGGCCACATGAAGGGATTGGGATTTCCCCCTAATAATGATACTTTCCCAGGAATGGGGCATGATTCGATTTGTTTCCTAAAACGGACTCAGTGGCCGTGTGGAGAGTGAGTTATAAGAGTGTCTGGAGAAGCAATGAACTGAGTTAGGAGGGTATCCCCACTAGGAAGTTGGGGTATTTGTTCATGTATCCTTTCCTTTGTTCACTTATTCTTGAGGTTATTCTCCAATGACATATAAAGAACAAATCACACACTTATCTTTGTATTACACTACTATGCTATCAAGGGCTACAATCTAACATGTCATAAATCTGCTTTCAATTTACCCAACTATTTACTCATTCATCTGTCTACCCTTTTGTCCATATGTCAACGTAAAATGTATTTAGCACCTAGTATGTATAAGACACTGTTGTAGACATTGAAGATACAAAGATAAAGCATAAGCCCTACTCTACGCTTTCTTAATAGTCTATGTAAGACAGATAGGGAAACATTCTTAATATGACTAGATGAAGGCTAATAGATACATCTACATAAAGAAAGACTGATTAACTGGCATACAATGATTCATCTTACAGACCTGTCCTACCAATATAAAAGAATAAGGAGCGAAATTCTTTATCTGAAACAATAAATATAGTAGAGTTCCTGTTGCCATCTGTTTTCCACAGGCCACCTGCAGGCCTTGGTGGGAGGAGAGACTGAAAATTATAAATAAGAAATGAACATTTGCATATTTTAATGGAGAATTTGTAACTAATGACCTGTGGCTGTTCTTACACTGCAGTATATATTTTTAAAGGTTTTTTTTTTTTTTTTTTGGATCAGAACAATAATACAGTATTATGTGACTTTTAATATGTTTTATGTTACTAGACAGGAAGTGAAAATACACAGCTATCAGGTTCAAGAGTTCGTGGCTGACACAGGAATCATTAAAAAGGAACCATGGTACGGGTGCCTGGGTGGCTCAGTCGGTTACTCTTCCGACTTTGGCTCAGGTCATGATCTCGTGGTTTGTGAGTTTAAGCCCTGCGTTGGGCTCTGTGCTGACAGCTCAGACCCCGGCGCCTGCTTCAGATTCTCTGTTTCCCTCTCTCTCTGCCACCCCTCCCCTGCTTGTGCTTTGTCTCTCTCTCTCTCTCTCTCTCTCTCTCTCAAAATAAATAAACATTAAAAAAAATTAAAAAGAGAAAAAAGGAACCAGAGTACGTAGACAAAGAATCATGATCACCTGTTTTCTGTCTGGTCTTCCAAACTTCATAATGAACAGAGCTGGTTCTATTATGTTCTTTATTAAACTGTCCCTCTTCAGAAGAACAGGGTTTTCAGTGGGTTATTGTAACCTGGATATAACAACCCAGTGATAGCTATTTCTGTACTCCTCTCATTTTCTTCTTTCCTTTGTCTCCTGAAATAACTAATATGAAAGAATTTGTGGTACCCTACTTATTTCGAGTAAATATACAGAATGCATGGACAGATGATATCTCCCAAAACTACCTGGGGTTCCCCTCCTTAAGACAAAAGTCCCAATATAATCCACGGACTTGCGTTACTTAGCAGCCACTGAGAGCAATAAGGCAATAAGGGTGCCTTCTTGGGAGCCTTCAGCAGCTTCTAGATCATCACTGACAAAAATGACTTAGGTAATTGTAATTGCTAAAAGGGAAAAAACCATGAGTCGCTTCACTTTAAGGAGGATATCTTTAAATATACTTTAAAGTTAGTCTTGGGTTTAAGAGCAGAATATAAACCCTTAATTTAGTAGGAAAAATATTTTTATGATTATGTGTGTAGCATGCCTTTACTCTCTGCAGACAAGCCAAGCATTTTTCTCCCTGATTTTTTTTTCCCTATCTCTAGCTCATCTGCTATGGAGATAAAAGTGGCATTAATCAATTTCCAGGCATGTCTTATTTAAATCTAGATTACTCCCTGAAAAGAAGAGATGAAACGGCAACTGCTTGTTCTGGTTTAGGGGGTAAACTACTCGATAACGCTAGAGGTTATAATTGCAAACTTATATATTGACAAATTCAGTAAACGTGATAGCCAGCTTTTAAAAATAATACCAGCTAAGAGTTGCTGACGCTTGAACTATGTTCCAAGTGATGCAATTAGTCCTTTATATGCACAATCTCATTTAGTTCTCTCAATATAATACCATGGTGTGGGTAATACAACCACTTTACAGACAAGGAAACCTAATCTCAGGTGGATTAAAGCTACCACGCCATAGCTTGTAAATGGCAGGATCCAAACTTAACAGTATATCTAACTTCGAAGTTGTAACTCTAAACTACTCAGCCATTTTCCCATACGTATTTTAGACTCCCCAGATTCCCTGTCACATTGATCTGCTATATCCTTATTACTTATAATCATGATCTTTCATTCAACAGACAATTACTAAGTGTCAGTTATGTGCTACTCTGGAGGAAAAGCAAATTAAGTCTTGTACAACCCTCAAAGAGTCACACAAAATGGGAAAAGGTAGAGAGATGAGCACAATGTAATTTCAAAACCCACTAGCCCAGCAGTACCACCCACATTTCAGAAGACGCCTCTGATTGCTTATATATACAAACAGAAATGGCGCTCACAAAGTGACAGCAATGCCCTCTCCTTTGGGAGGCAGCATGGTGCTTAAAAGTGGCTAAAAGCCTTTAGAGTGAGGGTCTGGGTACAAATACTAATCCTGCCAATTGTAGCTCTATGGCCTTGGAAGTTCCCGTGCTACTGTTTCTCCAACTGTAAAGAAAGGAATAAAAGCAGCCCTTACTTTACAGGGGGCATTTTGAGGATTACTGGATCTATAGCTCAGAACAGCCCCTGGCGTGTAAGGGTAAGCCATTAATGATGTGACTGTTCGAACCTACCCATTTTCTGACTAGTATTGATGAGTTTTGATTTTTCTCCCCTCAGTTACCACATAGTACTTGTGTCCTGTTTCTTTATTATTCTTGGTGGGGGAGGGCTATTCGTTTTCTGATGCTCTGGCCATTCCTAACTCGTCCTAGAAAATCTCACCCATTTCACCTTACATTTTCATTCAATTTAAGAGACACAGTCTTTTCCCTATGTTCTGCAGGATTACCATCCTTCTTGGCAGACGAAGGACGGCTGGCAGGCTGAACAGAAACTCTTTCGGAAGAAAGCATAAAGCCAGAAGGTTGGTTATATGAGGACATAAACTTTCTGGGCATATATGCTTAACTGCTTCCTTGTATCAGGCCATGCTAATGTACTTTTGCTTGTCGGTTCCTCACGTAGGTAACAGGGTTGATACCCATGGAGAGAAAGTGTCTCTCCTCTATTTTTCAACTTGCTATAGAAAATGTTGAATAACATGAGGCCCAGGGAAGATCCCTGTGTAATGGAACTTAAGAGGAAATTCAAAGTGGACGCAGACCATGACTTATGGATTTAGAAGAGCACCTGGCCCTTGCTCATTTTTAAATAATGCTATTACGAGGTGCAGTTTCTGTACCCGGGGAGACATCAGCTGGTATGCCTGTTAGAAACACAGACTGGCCCTTGCTTTCCACCTCTCCCACCCCTCCATCTCACCTCCACCTCCAGTAACCTGATCCACTGAGTCGGAGGTAAGGACTTGGAACCTGTATTTTTCATAGCTTTGGGAATCAGTGTCTAAGATTATTTATACATGTATTTGTGAGACAAGGACTTAATCATTGAGAAGTAATAAAACTCTCGTTTTTCTATATGGGCACTGAAAGCTTACTTGAAAAGAAGATCCAATTTCACTTAATAGCCTGCTTTCCTGAATTCTGATGAAATCAGACTGGGAGAAGGGGTTAAAAATAACCAGCCATTTTTAGCTTGTTAGGTTTACAGAATCAGAATTTTCAAGCTGGATGAGATACTAAAAATATACTGATATTTCTTCATTTTGCAGAGAGGGAAGCAAATCCTTCCATATATTAAAAGACTGATGAGAATACTAAGCCCCATAAACACCATGACTTCCCAAAGCAACAAGGTTAACTAGAACAATATTCTTGATTTCCATATTTGGTGGTTGCTTTATTTTTTTTAATAATCACCCAAATGGGGGGCCCCTGGTTGGCTCAGTCAGTTCAGCATCCGACTTCAGCTCAGGTCATAACCTCACAGTCTGTGAGTTCGAGCCCCACGTGGGGCTCTGTGCTGACAGTTCAGAGCCTGGAGCCTGCTTCGAATTCTGTGTCTCCCCCTCTCTCTGCCCCTCCCCTGCTCATGCTCTGTCTCTCTCTGTCTCAAAAACGAATAAAAACATTTAAAAAATTAAAAAAAAATCACCCAAATGGACTGGATCTGTTTCTCACTTTTTTTACTTTAATCTTTTTTTTAATTGAAGCACAGTTGATACACAATGTTACATTAGTTCCAGGTGATCTGTTTCTCCTTTTATGGCATTTAAGCTAACCAAACCAAATGTATTTGTGTTTTTTTTAAACCAAACAAACATGGGCATTACTAGTAACTGTATACAGCATCCTTCTGATCAAACACCTCTTAGAACCACATTTTGAGAATTAAATGAAATCTTACCTGAAGAGGCACCTTGACATCAAGGCCATAGAATAAAGGCAAGAGAGAAGAACAAGAATAGAAACAGAAACTGCAGAAGAAAAAGAAGAAGATTACATAAATCTGAATTTCTGTAGTGTCAACAAAACCTCAAGCTTTTCCACTTTGCTCAAGTCTGACCACTTGTCACATATATACCAAGGACCTTTTGTTTAAAAAAAAAAAAAAAAAACATGTTTTACTTATCTATTGGCAAAATAATGTGAGGACTAACTGGTGTCAACCAACATCAACTGATACATTTTACAACTGAGGTGGTCTAATAGATCATGGATCTAAGCTCCTAATTCTTTAAGTGAGAAAAGCAAGCACTGAACGGTTTATCAACAGTCTAATTGCATGTAATTTCATGTCATAGTAAAGCCTTGAATTTAGACCTCCTGGATCCTACTTTATTATATATTATTGTCTGTTTTTTAATGTGTGACAGGGTAAATCAAAACTACAAAAATATGATCAGAGTATCCACTTCATCACTTAATGCTATCACTGTTTGGTTAATGTGAAGAAGGCATAGCAGAGAGAATATTAATATGTAAGGTAAACCTGTGATAAATTATCTGCAGTGGGCTACTCCTGAGGTAGAAATGCAGACGCTATCAGTAATTACATCAGGACAGCAGGTGTATCCTGGGTCTACCCTGGATGAGCCAGGATGTGTGGTACGAAAGGTGCTTGTACATCAGAGGACGCCTTAGATAATGAATGGATGCATGCTGCTGTTCAAACCTCCATGCTTCGCAGATATTCTCTTTCTTTGACTCATAGAACTTAAATGGAGTCTGAATTGTGTCTCTTCGCTTAGAACTTTCTCCAGAAAAGCAGATACTTGGGTGGACAGACATGCTTGCATAGCAGTGGTGCATAACCAACTGCATACTAATTGTAGAAGGTCACAGGTCAGATCAGTGGTTTTCAAATACCAATTTCCTTGGTGAGGTACTCCTACAGAGTCAGACTTTGACCTTGTTATCACATTTCAGCACCATTTTGTCAGACACGACTTCCTTGAATAAGGGTGGTGTATGGCATTCTAATGTTGAGCGTGTTATCCTCATGTGTCTTTTAAGGCCACTGTTTACAGGGCTCTGGCTTCATCATAGCAAAATTGTAGGGACAAGTTATAAACATGGTGCTAAGAGCCATGTGTTGGTGACGGTTCTAGGAGTCTGGAAAGCAGAAAGTCTGTCCTTTTTCTTTTTTTTTTTTTTTTTTTTTTTTCCATTCTTCAAAGATGGAGAGTGGTAAAATGATGCCCGTAGTAGAAGATGGAGGGGAAAGGAGGCTTCCTCTACTCCTCTGAGGTCAGATATCAGCACCGCCTCTCGGGGCATGAGGAGAGGCCCATCACCTCGCTGGCAATGAGATTCTTTGTCCAGGCAGTGTGGTGGGCCGAACGTAGCACCTTGAGTCAGACACCCTGGCCTCTGGGTGTCTTGATATGGACTGGTTATATGGTCCTGGGAATGTTGTTTAATCTCTCTGACCTGTTGTTTTATTACCAGCAAAAAGGGGGATCCTGAGATCCGCTGTGTCTGTCTCACAGAGTAACTGCAGGAGAGTCAATGAAGCCGATGAAGCCTGCTTTGCATTCTGTGTCTCCCTCTTTCTCTGCCCCTCCCCTGCTCACGCTCTCTTTCTTTCTAACATAAACATTAAAAAAAGAAAATGCCTAGGGTAGTGACATTAATAGATATTTTAAAAATCCACTCCCCCCCCCACCCTTTTTAGTCTGGTTTTCCTTACATGAATGGGGATGGAATCAAACTGAAGTTTGTGGTTTTAATTCTGACTTCCTCTTTGTCAGCCACAGAGCTGGTTAAGACTTCGCACAGAAAATTACTAGAACCAAGAGCTAGCCATTTGAAGCTGTGGAAAATGGAAGGCATCAGGCATGTGCGTTGACAACTGGAGAAGCTGGAAACAGTTCCCACCTTCTGTGGGTCTTCTTGCCAAACACTGGGAAGTCAGACTCAGTCCTTGGCTTACTGCACTTCACCTTTGCCTCATTCAGTCCCACAGAGCTAGGCAGCACACTTCTGAAATGAGGACCATTCAAATTTAAAATTTTGCAGAGGATGTGTACTTTATGTCTGGAAATTTTAAAAATTATACTTTTTAATCGAACACTCTCAGCGTTTCGTAATTTTCACATAAGTGGCCCTGTTTGTTCCTTGCAGAACCCACGAGAGGAGATGAGGGCAAGCTCTATCATCCCCATTTTATCGATAAGGCTTAGACACAAGTCTCGGTCACATACCCAAGGTCAAGTAAGTATGTGAAGACCCAGCCGACGTAAGAATCCAGGCTGCTGATAGTCTGGCTCCTGGCCCAGACCAGCTCCCTCTGATCTCCCATGTATGGGCAGCTACAGAAGCAATTTGGGAGGAAGAAAATTCTGACCGTCGTTTCAGAAGCAGCAGATGGTTTGCTATTTTCTTCTTGGGTGCCCACGGAAGATGCTGCAAAATAGCCATATTCTTTGGCATCACAGGAATTCAGACTGGAACTCTAGGCAAAGCCTCTTGCGATTCTTGCTGTGTTCCTCAGCACGATGCTCCCGGGCATCACGGCAGGGTCACTGTTGTTATGTTAAGATTGTTGGCCTCACTGCAGCTTGTTCAGCACTCCTGTGTGAGCCCTCTTCCGTCCCCCCACCGTGCACATTCCCAAATGCAGTCTTTCAGGACTATTACGCTCTCCCCTGAAAGTGTTGGCTGACTCTGAGGAGGCTTTCAGGCCACTGGGGGAAGTGACATGAGGGCTTCATCATCACGTGTTAACCTAAGTTTCTGGACTTACTGTGGAGGGGACACTGCAGCACAAGGAAGAAAGGGCTTTTTATCAATAGTAACAGGAATGATTTTTTTTTTTTTTTCAAAAAGGGACCAAAAATATTTTGAAAAGAAAGAGCAAAGTAGAGGCATAAAACTCATGAGAAATTTCTGGAAAGGAAATGAAGATAAGAAAGGGGAAGCGAGGAAAGAAAACACCCATAGCAAAAAATAGGAATCAACACAAAAGGCAAACATGTCCAGGTTAGGTTGCTGAAGACAGAACCTTTTCTGGAATGCTGGTGACTGACTGGAGGTGAAGTTTATATTGACTGTAACAACACCTGCCTCAGCAAGATACACAGTAACAGAAGAAACACAATGCGGTGAATGAAACTCCTATTATTTTCTGGTCTAAAAGTTAAAGACTGAAATTCACACTGAATTTAACACATACCTTTTCTTCTAAGTCCTTTATCTGTCTTTTCTGGATGTCTGTTTTATCTTCTAAGTCACGAATTCTCTGAACAAAGGAAAAAAGAGAAAGAGTTAGTGGGTGTTAACAAGAAGACTGTTCGCCAACCTAAAACAAGAAACTTGCTATGAAAACATTAACATTAGTACTCACAGCTGGAAGCATCACATACACGTTTTCCCACACCCAGAAGATGGTTAGATTACCCATACTTGTCATGCAAAAGCATGGCATTGATTACGTATGTGTTTTTAAATTTGCTACCCCTGTCTATGCACCTGTCTCTACAGACCTATCTCTGAGAGGGAGGTAATGTTCTCACCCCAGTGTCCTCGGGCTTGGCTGTGAGGCCTATTTGGCCAGTGGAACGTGAGTAGGAGACGCAGGAGTACCACCTGCTCATTGAGACAGCATTATGTCCTGGAACTAGCGAGCAAGAAACTAACTGTGTTGGAGCCATTGGGATTGGGATTTTTGGTTGTTGATTACCACTGTAAAAAATGGCTAGTGGTGATATACATACACACATGCAAACAGTCCCCTTGTTTTTTGCTACCCTTCCTTTCCAACCATGTTTCATCTCTGCTTCAGGGTAGAATTTCCTCATAAAACAGGATTTGCCAATTCTCATAAAACAAAGTAGAGATAAGACTTGGGCAAAAATTCCAAAGAGACAACTGATTAAGTTAGGGGAAAACTAAACATAGCAAAAAGCATAAGGAATCCTAAGGACAAAATAATTCCAGAACTATCTTTGAACTCACCTGTCAACTGTGTAACAAACTTCCAGTGATTTAAAAAGTGCAGATTTGAAATCAACATTACATAATTATTTGCAAGTGAAAAAAAATCTTCAAATTTCTAGGCAACTAAAGGCCTTTTATGTTCATGGCACATGGCTACACAGTGTAAGTTTGTTATTTAATGCCTCTCTTGGGAATAATCAGAAAATGAGAACAGGAGTCTGAGAAGAAAACAGTGGAAGCTAAATGTGGTAATAATATAGAAAAAGAGGTTTTTATAATGCAATATGTGAAGAAGAGAAAGCTAGAACAAATACTTGAACTTGAAAATCATATCTCCCTACTCTGAAACAGTGGTTCTCAACAGAGGATGACTCTGCCCCCCAGGGGAGCTTTGGCAATGTCTGGATATCTCTTAAAGTTATTAAATTTAATCTGAGGTATATAATTCAGTGGTTTTAGAATATTCACAAAGTTATGCAACCATCATCACTATCTGACTATCTGGACATTTTTTAATCACATGTGGTCAATAATCACACCTAGGGTGGGGGTTGTAATTAGCATCTAATAGGCAGAGCCCAGGATGATACACAGGACAGCCCCCTACCATAGAGAATCATCGAACCAGGGGTGCCTGTGTGGTTCAGTTGGTTGAACGTCTCACTCTTGATTTCGGCTTAGGTCATGATCTTATGATTTGGGAGTTTGAGCCCCACATCAGGCTCTGTTGTTGACAGTGTGGAGCCTGCTTGGGATTCTCTCTCTGCCCCTCTCCCGCTCACACACACATGTGCATGCTCTCTCTCACCCTCTTTCTCAAAATATATAAACAAACAAACAAAAAAAGAATCATCTGACCAAATGTAGGGAATGAGAAAACTGAGGAATGTGCTCTAAAGGGAAGGGACTGAGGTTTGTGCAGGAGAGGATGAGATGTTTGGGTCAGAGAGACTATCAAGGCTGACCGTGAAATTATAGGACAATGAATGATGGGTAAGAGAACGGGCCTGGAAGCTAATGGTGCGTGTACACGGGAGTGACGTGTGTGCTTGTGTATATTTCCACAGTGCTGCTCAGGCGCCAAAGCTACACAATAAAAGAATAAATTTGCTAGACATTTCCACCTTGAGTGTACATGTAATTCCTTTATATGTCTACTGAATGTGGAGGCAAGTGTCATCTCACCACAATCATGGACATGTGGGATTACTAGAGATTACTACAGTGTCTACTTGGCCACCAAGGGCATGTTTGTTGAGCAACTTCTTACAAAGGTCAGGACTATGCTGGATATAATGGAGAATACAGACACCAGTCCATTTTTGGTCCCAAAGAACCATTGGAATCAGATGGGGAGATGGAGTCTAAAACACAGGGAGAAACAAATTAAGTAGAAAAGGTAAACGATGGCAACGCCATTGTAACTTCATCACCAGTCTCTAGTAAGTAGGACAGCGTTCAGCACAAGGAAGTTGCCTATGCTTGTTAACTACAGGAGTTATTTATGCTACAGTCGTGTGCTGCATGCTCTATTTCTTTCCTTTCCCATTCACTTGCCACCCCATCCAAGGGGGAACCTTCTCAGGTCCAAAAGAGACCCCTTTTTATCTTACCTGTCCTGCTAATCAGTACACAAGTCACTGTTGTCCGCATCAGGACTGGGGTGAGAGCTTACTGCTAGTTCTGTTTCTAATTTAGTACATCCATCTACAGCAGCTGTGTGTACTCCTGACATGTGGAATAATCAGGGCAGGCCCTGAGTTTAAGGCGGAGAAGAACAAGCGTAAGAATAAGGGAGAGGCAGCCAGGCTGCACTCAGAATAGAACCCAACTCCTTCAAGGCCCAGTGTGATTTAGCCTTTTCTTCCTGGTCCAACTTCACCTCACATCCACTTCACCTTGGCTCTACGTGCTCCATTTTTATGGCCTTCTCTCTGTTCCTTGACTATTCCAAATGTTCCCACAATAGAGACTTAGACTCTGTTGTCCCTATCTTCTGGGGCACTTTGCCAAGATCTTTGTGTGGCTGGTCCCTTGGGTTTTAGACATCTTCAAAGATGCCTGATCTGCCTAGCCAGTCTAAAGTGGAGAATCCTATTCCCAAACACACACACACATCGTATACTTTTCTTCATAGCATTTATTGACACTCTCTGAAATTGCCTTGGTCATTGCTAATTTGTGTTGTTGCTTTGACCCTTTTCATGGGTAGGACAGACGAGAGCAGTGACCTTTATGTCTCTGTCCACCATAATATCCCTGGCACAAGCAGGCTTTCAAATATGGTTTTGAAACAATGTGTAACAGGATATGAAGTACAGATTTTTTTCAGTAGTATGCAGTCCATTATTATCAGGGGAACATCCTAAAGGAGGTGGATCTTAAGCTGGGACTGGAAAAATGAGAACATTTAGATAAATGCAGCAGACACGAGGGGCATTTTATGGTGAATGGTCATGCCAACAAAGGCTTAGAGGAGGGAGTCATGACCCAAGCGGTACCAGGAAGAGTTCTGCATGAGTAGAGAGGACAGAATACTCTGGAGATTGTCTCAGATCAGGTTTTCAGAGAAGGGGTAGCCAGCTAATGAAGGACCTGGAGAGAGCTGCATAGGCCTAGACCCAACTGCAAATTGAGATCATAGAGGCTTTGAGGAAGAATGTACCATGAGGAAAGGTGAAAGAATGTGTAGTGATATGCATGATGAACTACAGAGAGGGCAGGAAGTCCTCTCCACCACTCAATCCCCGTGGCATCCTGCATATGACTTTTTTATGCCACTTGTCAAGAGGTACCAAACGTAATTTTTTTCTTTGTGTTAACCTCCTTTGTCTCCATCAATAAGTCCTATGCTTCGTAAAAGCAGAGTCCATGTGAGTTCTCTATGTCTGAAATGGTATCCAAAGACTGGGAAATGCATTTAAATATGTGACTGAATAAATGCCTAGATGACGGAGTCAGGTTACATCAGAGGACATCTGGCAGCATCTGGGAGCTGTTGCAGGATTGAAAGGTCCTGCCTCTGCCTCAAGTTACAAGTGTGGACAAAATAGACCAGCTTCAGAAACATTTCAGGAGAAATACTAATTGGATGTAGAGCTATATTAGTGATTGGAGATAAAGGACAAAGAAGACTCCAGGGTTTCCAGCCTGAGTGCTTTGGGATATGGTAATTCTACTGACGAAAACAGGCAGATGGGGAGAGAAGGGGAAAGAATAAAAATGCACACTTAGATATGTTTCATATGAGTTCACTGTGAAACATTCAAACAGAAATGTCCAATAAATAGTTACTGATAGGCTCTAGGATTTAACTGGATCACATAGCTTATACATGACAAAACCTGGCCAATACCTTCTGGAATAATTCTCTTAAATCTACTGATTATAAAGGGAGACAAAGAGTAAGAAATAATTAGAAAAGGCATTTTCTAATGAACATTTGTTTGGGAGATAGAAAATTTCAATGGAAATCTCTGTGGCTTAGAAATGTAATGTACCTGTCACTGGATAGCTTAAAACAAAGCAAACAAAACATGTCTTTCAGGTTTGGCTTGGTTAGAGACTCAAAAAATGACAAGGTTTTAATCATAAATAAATTTAGATAACTCTTTGCCCATCTTAAAAATAAATACTTTTGGGGCACCTGGGTGGCTCAATCAGTTAAACGTCCGACTTTGGCTCAGGTCATGATCTCACAATTCACGAGTAGGAGCCCCGCCATCAGGCTCTGTGCTGACAGCTCAGACAGAGCCTGGAGACTGCTTCAGATTCTGTGTCTCCCTCTCTCTCTGCCTCTCTCTCTCTCTCAAAAATAAATAAACATTAAAAATTTTTTTTTAAATAAACACTTCTGTGGTTCCATAGCACAACTGCTGATTGGTTGAAATTAACTAAATGCCATTGCAGTATAAAAAAATTACGCAGAGGGCACTTTTATTCCCGCAACTAATGAGGCCATGGGGTCTATCATTAAAGGGCTAAAAAACATTCCAGGATCAAAACCCAGAACTTTATGATGGAATCTGAAAGCACACTGAAACAAACATGCATGTGTTCACCATCTCTGGGACAAAAGGCTTCACCGCTCTTAGCTCCCTGTTAACTCAGATAATCTGTTCGATTGTAAAGATTCACACAACTCCTGCCTACGCGGGAAGTGTGCTAAGTGTCATGTTCCCCATAAACCGTTCTTACGGGTGTCATAAAGTAACCTGTTCCTTTTCCACCCACCTTGATCTCTAAAGACCACACAACTCTTACTTCTTGTATTGTCCATCTGGATTGTGTATCAGTTGCTTAACCCAGCTTCTAAGTACCAAATCCTACCGGCACTATCAACTTTGTAATTCTTTTGGAATCTGCTTTTTGACCAGGGCCTTAGTCCTCACCTGTCAAGCTAAGACATGAACTATGAGATGCAATTAAGAATGTTGGCTATAAATGAATATTGAGTGTCTCCAGAGCCTTCCTGGTCTAGATGGGTCACATCAATCAGAGAGGACTCAAGTTGCGTAGGAGAGGGTAGCACAATGGTTATACGCACTGGCCTTGAGTTATGGACACCTGAGTAGATACTGGCTCTGGTGCTCGCTATCTGTGTCACCTTGGGCAAATGACTTAAGTACTCATGTCTGCAGTATCATTATCTCCTCAATGGGATAATAAGAATACTTACCTCAGTGGGCTACTGTGAAGATTAAATGCAATGATGTAAGCAGAGCCCTTAGTTTAGTTCCTGACATAGCAAATGCCAGTAAGTAAGCGGCAGCTTCCAGGCTTTGTTGTTGTTGCTGTTTGTTCTGGGAATAAAGAAAAAGGCCCTTGTTCTCTTTTACCCTATTCAGATGATCTGATCAGGCTAGATTATGGACTGGGATGAGTAACAGGAGGAAGCAGTATTTCTGTCCTGGGGAGAGTCTTGCCCTGCATAAGGGAGCTAATCAGGCTCCAGGAGACCCAAAGGGTATTTCATGACAAAACAGCTCCCCGAATAGTAGCAGTAGGCAATGCTTCTGGAATGCCAATTTTCTCAAGACTGAATCATTACCAAACTGTCATCCTGTCTCTGAGTCTAGGCGGCCAACAAGAGTTCTGTATCTTACTCTCCGAAGATGGCGTACAGCTCCTGGGCTTCTCTCACCCACACTCCATACCACGCACTTAGTACTAAGTCCCATTTGCTTAGTACCAACCCTACAGAGATGCAGTGGCTCCGTCCTCACCTGATGGGCTTGCTGTAAGAGCTCCATTCGCTCCTGAAGAATCTGACAGTCATACTCTCTGCTCTTCCTCAGCATCTGCCGCCGTAACTTTTCTACCGCTGTTCTCAGCTCTTCTTGCTGTTTTTCACTTAATAATTCACCAAACTTGATAACGGTTTCTTGCTGCAGAGCATTGTACAAAGTAGCTTCTAGTTCCTGGATTCTCTGGCAAACAGAATTAGAAAAGTCTAACTTTGGAACTTAGCATTTCTGGTGGTATGTGAATGGAGACACTTGCGTGTGGGGGAGAGGGGAGTTATGTATTACTGGAATCTTACGGGATCATAGCACTAAAATCAATCTCAAAGCTTATCCAGCCACACTACCATTTTGATAATCCCCTTTGTAAGACTCCGTGAGTCATCGAGCTAACAATACCTGAACTTCTCTGATGATGGGGCATCTGTTCTTTTTCTTGGGATCCTGTCCATTTCACACACCTTTCATTTTTAGTAAGTCCTTACTTTGTTATAAAAATTGTATATTCTTCTATTCTCAAATGTAGTTGAGAACATATTTGTGCTCTCTTCCATCTGACAGCCCTTCAGATATGTAGACATCTATCATGGTGGCTGTACGTTTAGAAATAAGCACTGAAAAGTGGTCTAAGTTGGAATACTAAGTTGGGGATCTATTTCGCACACAAAATGCCTCCTCTCTTCCACATGACACACATACGAACTTGAAGATGGCTTTACAGTCTCCCTATCTTAAAATACAAATTAGGAGACATGATCTGAAAATGGCCTGGAGTCTTTGGAATTGGTTTGTTTTTTAATATTCTGACATTTAAAGTTGCTTTAGCTATAATATGCCTCCTTGAGTCTTCTCTGTTTTGGATGAAGAATCCTTATATCCTTATATTCCAGTTTTGTTTTGTTTTGTTTTTTAAACATGCTTCAGTTATAGTCACCAAAATCTACAATCTTACCTCCTGTGACTTTGACAGAGGTGAATGGTCATGCCTTGGTACAGAGTATTTTCCTAGCTCTTGTTTCCAAGTTCTTAGCTCTTGTACTCGACTGAACAGATCTCATCTTTTTAACATGACATGTGTCTGAATGAGTACTTGCTCATGGGACACATAAGCACCTGAACCTGACCATGTGTAGGTAAAGAAGGCAAGGATAAAAGGGTAGGAAGGGAGGGGAGAAAGTGCTTCCTTCTTTATTCTCTGATGACCAACTCTCATTTCTCTCCTTTCCCCATCGAGCAGTGCTCAGAATCTCTTACTCATTTTGGAGAAGAATACTAATTCATCTCTGTTACAAGCAGGGGCTAAGTGCTTCATTCTTCTCCCCAAAGTGACTCAGGCTGCTTCCAGGAAAGCATTATAAAAACCTCTACCAGCAACTCCTTGAAATGTTCCCCTTTTAAGTTTGGTCTTTTTCTCTTGAGTCATTACTGTGAATTAATGGTTGGGGGGGGGGGGCAGTATATGGAGAGAAGAAATGCAAGCTGTTGTCCCGTATTAGGAATTATGTGTTATGAATCTGTCATGGGGAATGAATCAAATGGGGTCCTCAGTCCACACAGCCTTCTGTGGGGGAGAAAAGGCACAACCCATCTCCCGAACAGCCTCACTTACTGTGGCTGGATTACGGTAGAGAAGGCCACAGGGTCTGGAGTCAGAACTGAGCACTACGTGCTTGCTCTCTCGGGCAGAGTTCTTTCACTCTCCAAGCCTTCATTTCCTCATATGTAATACAGGAATGATCATATTACCTGCACCCCAGAGGGTTGTTGTGAGAAATATGTGAAGGAAAAATATACACAGCAGACATTAAATGCTCTACTCTTTTCTCACTACGTGAGGCTCCCAAACAGTTAGATTTAATAAAATTTCTCTTTCATCTACAGTACCATCCAACCTGTCTCTCATTAAAGTATTCTGTAACAGACACTTAATTTTTTTATATGAAGCATAATTAAGTATGCACTACATATTATAAGAGTGATATAACGGGAAATAGGTAGGGATGTATTTATTCTACAACCAGAACTGGAAACCACTGAATAAATGAGCTTGCATATTGTGGTCTATTCAAGTACATGGCGGGACAAGTGAACCATGATGCTTCACTCCACAGCACAGGACTTTGAACTCTGGGTGTCCTGAGTGCTTGCTGTACCTACCATATATGCTTGGTCGAGAGCTTGTTTTCTGTAATCTAGTTCTTCCTCCAAATAGCCTTTTATTTTGCAGAATTGTTCCTATAAAAAGGATGAAGAGAAAAGACAAAGCGATATGAGCTTACATGATAAAAGATGAAGAGAATGATAAAGAGAAAAGAACTTAGTTTACTAGAAAGCGGTATATAAATGGTATTGATGAATGTTTCCTCTAACTCCCCAACAAGACCAGTCACTAGCATTTATAGGGTCATAGATTCTGTTAGGAAAATAGTTCAACTTTCATAGTCTCACACAGAGAATGTGAAAATCAATGGAAAGAAGTATACAAGATATCATGAACAATCCACCACATGGAATGCTTTCAAGGATTTTTATGCCAGTCCAAGAGCGCGTGGTTAAGGACAGGGTTACTAATAACTATATCTGTGCAAATATATTGTGAGAGTCTATTTTTGTAAGAATGTTTTGAAATGTAATATGCACAGTTGCATAATAAAAAGTGATTCAAAATTATCTTGCACAATTAGCAAACAAAAGATGGATAATGATGTGGGTGGATGGCAGCTATTCCACCCACAATGTCACTTCATGAATGGGCTTCTGCTTCTGCCACAAAACCAGTACGAGCTGGGACCGAAATCTGAAGTTCCCTTGCTTGTCCCCAGCGTCTGCATGCCTGGTCTCACATCGCAAGCATCTTTCCAACAGCATTTAAAAACATAACTTTGTGGGGCACTTGGGTGGCTCAGTCGGTTCAGGGTCCAACTTCGGGATCAAGGTTCATGAGCTCAAGCCCTGCATCAGGCTCTGTGCTGATAGCCTGGAGCCTGTTTTGGCTTCTGTGTCTCCCTTTCTCTCTCTGCTCCTCCCCTACCTGCGCTCTATAGTCTCTCAAAAATAAATAAACATTAAAAGTATATATATATCTCATGGGGCACCTGGGTGGCTCAGTCGGTTGAGCATCCAACTTCTGCTCAGATCAAGACCTCGTTTGTGAGTTCGACCCCCGCATCAGGCTCACTGCTGTCAGCCTGTCAGCATGGAGCCCGTTTTGGATCCTCTGTCTCCTCTCTCTGCCCCCTTCCCACTGAGGCTGTCTCTCTATTTTTTCTGTATTTGACTCCTCCGTTGGTTTCATAGCTAAAACTTTTAACTGTACTGTCCATTTTATATCTCTCAAGGCTACCAATACTGTAGTACAATATTAATGAAAAATAAGAAAAACATTTAATATTGGTGTTTTGTCACAGAATTCATTTTGCTCCATATTTCAATGAAATCATAAAATCATCTGACAGAGCAAACTTCATCACTTTGAAAGCTCTGCACACTTTTTACCTCCTTTGAATGTCATAGCAGCTCCATACAATACTCCAGGCTGATATTTTACCCCCACTTTACAAGTAGTGACAGTGAGGCTTTTTTTTTTTTAAGTTTATTTATTTTGAGAGAGACAGAGACAGTATGAGTGGGGGGAAGGACGGAGAAAGGGGGAGAATCCCAAGTAGGTTCAGCTGACCGTGTGGTCAGCACAGAGCCCAATGCGGGGCTCAAATTCACAAAATCGTGAGATCATGACCCAAGCCGAAATCAAGAGTCAGACGCTTAACCAACCGAGCCACCCAGGCACCCTGCAAGTTATTCTTGTTATAGGATTCCCTGACCTGATAGGAATCACTACCTGTTTTTCAGTAGTAATAATAATAATGACAGTACAGTTATAAAATCCTATGTATTCCTGTAAGTTATAATGAACAATTCCTGTGCTTAGGGATTTAAAGAAATATTTAATTACGGTAAAACACACAAAATTACTCTTAACCATTTTTAAGTGTACAATTCAGTAGGGTTAAGTATATTTACACAGTTAAGCAGCCAATCTCCAGAATGCTTTTCATTTTGCAAAACTGAAACCGTATCCATTAAATGACAACTCATTTTCTCTTAGTTTTCACTCCTAACGGCCATTGTTCCTACTTTCTATTAGTCTGACTACTCTAGATACTTACGTAAGTGGAATCATACATTATTTGTCTTTTTGCGATTGGCTTAGTTCACTTTGCATAATATCCTCAAGGTTCATCCACGTTATATCATATATTAGAATTTCCTTCCTTTCTAAAAGTTTTTTTTAATGTTTATTTTTGAGAGAGAGAGAGAGTAGAGAGAGAGAGAGAGAGAGTGAGAGACAGCGCAAGTAGGGGAGGGGCAGAGAGAGAGGGAGACACAGAAGCTGAAGCAGCTCCAGGCTCTGAACTGTCAGCACAGACTCTGACGCGGGGCTCAAACCCTCAGACCACGAGATCATGACCTGAGCCGAAGTCGGGTGCTCAACCGACTGAGCCACCCAGGCGCCCCAAATTTCCTTCCTTTCTAAAGCTTTAATAATATTCATTGTATGTTCAGACCACATTTTGCTATCCATTCATCCAGTGATAGACTCTTAGGTTACTTCCACATTTAAGCTACGGTGAATAATGCTGCTATGAGCATGGGTGTACAAACATTTCTTTGAAAACCTACCTTCAATTATCTTGGGCATATTCCCAAAAGTGGTATTGCTGGATTATACGATAATTCTATTTTGAATATTTTCAGCAACCACACCATACTATTTTCATTAGCAGCTACACATCATTTTATGTTCCTAACAACAACGCAAAGGTTCCAATTTCTCCATGTTCCCACCAACACTTGTTATTTTCTGTTTTGTTTTGTTTTGTTTTGTTTTTGATAGTGGTCATCTTAATGGGCACAAAGTGGCTTGGAGATTTTTAAAATCATAGTTACACTCATCATTTCTGTAATTTTTACTCTGACTATACATGGTGGAAAAATTATTTAGCCTAAGAAAGAAACCACCTAGTTGAATTTTATTCAGCATTAGTTTTAGAAATATTGTAAAAATACAACATATTTTTGAAGAATATAACTTGAAATTGTGGGATACTTTCAAGAATTTCATTCCCCAGTCTGCACACCAAATAATGCGAAGCTGCAAACTTTCATTGGTGCCAGTGAAACTGGTAGAAAACAGTTGTTTTCCATTTGCCTTGACTATTTTTCTTCATTTAAAAAAAATTTTTTTTTGAGAGAGAGGGTGCAAGTGATTGAGGGGCAGAGAGAGAGAGAATCCCATGAGGGGCCGAGAGAGAAAGAACTGGGGCTCACCTGAGGTGGGGCTCATGCTCACGTGAAGCAGGACACGAGCTCACCCTAAATGGGGCGTGTGCTCACCTGATGCGGGGTTCCAACTTACAAAGTGTGAGATCATGACCTGAACTAAAGTCCGGTGCTTAAGCACTGAGCCACCCAGGTGCCCTATTTTTTGTCATTTTTATGATGCCTCATCTTTGGACTCACCATGTCACTTTCCAATTCCATCATTTTCTGGTGCAGGGCAGCCTCCGCTCCTTCGATTTGCTGGATCCACTAAGGAGTAAACAAGGAGTAAACAAAAATGTCTGACATCACTGCTTGACATGGTGTATATGGTGCAGTCTACTAAGTTGCTTTGTGTCTTCCTCTTTTTTCTCAGAGAACTGAAGTGGAAACTCGGTGTGTTTTATCTCTTAGTTCAGGAAATAGAGTTATTCATTCATTCATTCATTCACTCACTCAACAAACGCATTCACTGATGTCGACCATGTGTCAGGCACTGCACTAGGTACAAGGGCTTCTATGGTGAGTAAGACCAACATGTTTTTTGTGCTCATTAGAAAACATCATAGGAGGCTTTCTTGGAAAAGACAACTGCGCTAGAGTCTGACGATTTTGAGTCAAAGATGATTAGGCAAAAATGACGGGCAAGTTCCAAGCAGAAGAGATATCCAATTCTTCGTGGTTGGGGGAAACATAATGAAAGTAAGAAGGCCAGGTGAGACTGGAGAAATGGCCATTTTTCAGTGTATGAAACGGACTACAGCTAAGTGTTGAAGAATCATTTTTGTTAAGTGGAGGCATTTTAAATCACATTAAAAAACTTACCTTTCCTAACACTTAGAATATATCATCCTGTTATATGGCACTGATATTAACATTGACCAACACCCTGAGTAAAATCAGATTTTGAATAAGATTTTGAATAATAAGATTGAATAATAAGATTTTGAGTAATAAGCTTACCACATATATTGCTTAATAGAACATATTATAACATGTCTCTCCCAAGTTAAACATCGGCTTATCCTGTAGGGAGGCAACTGGGCGTAATAATTGTGGGGGTTCTACAGGCAGACTACCCTGGGTCTAATCCCAATCCAGGATTTTCATGGCTGTGTGGCCTTGAAAGGTTATCTGATTTCTCTAAGCTTTAACTTTCTTTTCTGTGAAATAGGGTTAATAATTTGAAGAATTACAGGATGTAATTAATGGAAGACACTATGCACAATGTACTGCATGTACTGGGTACACAATAATTCTAGTTCTTGGTTAACATTCATCCATTCATTTTAGAGAGAGATGAAAGCATGTGAGCAGGGAGAAAGGGCAGAAGGAGAAAGAGAATCTTTTTTTTTAAATATAAATTTTTTTTTAACATTTATTCATTTTTGAGAGATAGAGACCGAGCATTGAGCAGGGGATGGGCAGAGAGAGAGAGGGGGGGACACAGAATCCACAGCAGGCTCCAGGCTCCGAGCTTTCAGCACAGAGCCTGACATGGGGCTTGAACTTGTGAACGGTGAGATCGTGACCTGAGCCGAAGTCGGACGCTCAACCGACTGAGCCACCCAGATGCCCCAAGGAGAAAGAGAATCTTAAGCAGTCTGTATCCTCAGTGCAGAGCCCGATTCGTGGCGTGATCCCACCACTTTGGGATCATGACTTGAGCTGATATTGAGTCATATGCCCAAATGACTGAGCCACCCAGGCACCCCAACATTTATTTTTATACATCTACACTGTTAGGAATTTGCCTCCATACTAGTGATTTCATTTCAGTTTATCTGTGATAAATTATGTGGTGCACTGAGCATTTTTTAAAAATATTTATTTTTGAGAAAGAGAAACAGCATGAGCAGGGGAGGGACAGAGAGAGAGGGAGACACAGAATCCAAAGCAGGCTCCAGGAAAGAGCCTGATGCATGGCTTGAACTCACAAACCACGAGATCATGACCTGAGCCAAAGTCGGATGCTTAACCAACTGAGCCACCCAGGTGCCCCGTGCATTTTTTCTACATACTAAAGCCTGACATTCACAAGGCGATACCATGTCCAACAGCCTCTTAGCTATAAGAAATGTGGGGAAAGAATAAATGCACAGGGAGACTGAGGACCTACTCTCTCAGTTCTTGTACATACACGTGGCCTCCCCTTGAAACAGATTTCCATCCGAAATCATGGGTAGTCTCTGCAAGTGCAGACCATCAAGCTTTATTAAAATGCTGCCTTTTACTTACTGCCCATTTATCATTGAGAAACTGTATTTTTAAGTATAGTAAATTAAAGCAGTTCAGTCATGGGCTTCAGATACAGACTTGTGTGTTGACTTGTAGCCCTTCTGACTTGTGAAGCTTGACACAAGTTACTGAATAGCCCACACCTCAGTTTCCTCATGTGTAGAATGAAAACAGTGGATAAATTTAGGATGGTTGGGAGAACAATGACATTTGTGCAGTACCTGGCCCATAACATGTTCTCACTTAAGGTTACTGCTCTTACTCTTATTAACACAAAGTCACAATAGGATTTCTTGTTGGAAATTTGTCTATGTTCAATCTCTGGTTATCAATTATACTCCTAGACAGCAGAATGCTATCCAAGGTTGTGGTATTCAAAAGTTCAAGGCTGACATTTAGAATTACTTGGAGATAAACATGTTCAACTGTAAATCCCAAAGGTAGGAGGCAACACTAACTTGTGAACTGCACAGACTATGAGCACTCTAAGGACAGGTTTGCATCTTGTGCATTTGGTTCTTCACTTATCCCTTCAGTGCTAAGCACACTGTCATCACTCTAAATGTTCAACCGAACCCCTCATACCGGTCTTGCAAAGGAGGTAAGTGGAGGCGTGAACTAATTCGCTGAAGGGCTAATAGATCAGCTCCTACAGGCTCTGTAAAGGGCACTTCCTGCTTTCAATAGAATGCTTGAGGGGAATTGTGGTGCAGTGGAGAAGAAGATCATGGACTCCGGGAACAGACTGCTTGAGTGTGAATCCTGTCCCCATCATTTTCTAGTCGTGTGACTAGGGCAGTTACCTGCCTTCTCTGTGCTTCAGATTCCTCATCTATAACAGTAGTATCAAGAGAAGTGCCAGGTACAAACAAAGCACTATGCAAGTGTTAATTATGGTTAAGTTCAAGTTGCATCGCATGCACACAGGGCAGGGAATGGAAGAAAATTTCCATCAATCTAAGTAAATGTGAGACACACAGACCCACTTTTCCTTTACTTTTTCCTATTCCTACTTTCTTTTTTTTATGTTTATTTTTGAGAGAGAAAGAGATCGCGCGCGCTCGCGTGCGCTCGCGTGCGCGCACATGAGTGGGGGAGGGGCAGAGAGAGGGAGACACAGAATCCGAAGCAGGCTCCAGGGTCTGAGCTGTCAGCACAGAGCCCGACGTGGAGCTCAAACTTATGGACCTCGAGATCCTGACCTGAGCCGAAGTTGGATGCTTAACCAACTGAGCCACCCAGGCGCCCCAGCCTATTCCTATTTTCTTTTCCATTTCCCTAATCTGTCCTTCACATCCTAGTCCTTGCCTTTTACAGAAATTGGCCCAAGTTTTCTTTTTTTTTTTTTAATTTTTTTTCAACGTTTATCTATTTTTGGGACAGAGAGAGACAGAGCATGAACAGGGGAGGGGCAGAGAGAGGGAGACATAGAATCGGAAACAGGCTCCAGGCTCTGAGCCATCAGCCCAGAACCTGACGCGGCGCTCGAACTCACGGACCGCGAGATCGTGACCTGGCTGAAGCCGGACGCTTAACCGACTGCGCCACCCAGGCGCCCCCCAAGTTTTCTTGATATCCCTAAATTATGGTGACTTTTCTTTCAATAAAGAATTGTAGCCCTCATGAGTCCAATAGAATGCGACACTGGCTATTGCTGCCAAATAAATGTAGCAGATATGGGAGTACAAACTGTATTTTCTTCATCAGCGTGGCATTGTAACACTGTCCTGTGGACATTCACAAAGTCACTTATTCACTCCCTCAGTAAATACTTGCTGATCACCTGTTAGATGTGCTGGATTGTTGTGAAGAACTAGGGAAACAAAGTGGAATAAACAGATACCATAGTTGCCCTCATGGAGTTTAACGTCTAGTGGTAGGTAGTTGTGGGGCACATAACAACAACAAAAAACAAGCAGCCACATTACAGTTGTTAAAAGCCATAGTAGCAGATGCACAGGTCACTGTGGAAATACAGAGAAAAAAATACCTAACAGGGCTTGGGTGAAGAAGAAGGCTACCCATGTATGGGGATGTCTAATGGTTAAGATTGAGCCACACAAAGGGAGAAAAGGAAGAAGAAAGTAACTTCTAGGCAAAGAGAACAGCCTAAGGACCAAGGGATGGAAATACTGATAGGGATGGAGAAAGAGAGAGAGAAACAGAGACAGAGAAGACTGGGACACCAAAAGGATTTGTATATGGCTGGCCCTCAGCTAGGGACCAAAGAAACAAGTGGGATCCGGGAGAAGCAGGCAAGAGCCAGACCTAGGGACCCTCTTGGCAAGTTCTAGATTCTGGACCTTATGTTTGGGACAATGCAAGGTTATTAATGTGTTGTGGACAGGGAAAGTGATGGGTCTGTAATTAAATTGCAAGGGAACTAAGTTTTTTAAAAAGCAAATACCAGGTACTATTTCACATGTATATAATTCCTTTTGTTATCTGATACCTGGTCCATACTAAAATCTCCCCAGGTGTCAGCAAAATGTCTTCCCCCACCCCCTACTTGGTTTCCCTGAATCAGTATCCAAAAAAGGGATTATTTTAATAATTTTTAAGTAATCTTTTATTTTATAGCAGCCCTTCCCTCTTCAAGTATGTGCTGATTCTCAAGGCACGCTGAACACAGCCACTTCTCAGGCTTCTCCGATTGGCTCTTTCCTCCTCTCTTCCTGCCATTTACCAGGTTAAGACACAAGGGGGCCAGAGCACACACTCAGTGTTGCTCAGCTGACAGTACCCAGGTTGGACTTTCTGAATTGTATAGCCATGAACCACCGCCAGGTTACAGAATCATCTGGGAACAACTGCTATATGCACACCCAGGGAAAAGCCCATAAAAAGAGCCAGGCTCTCTAGTTTACCATCTCTCAACAAAAACCTCTATTGGTTTTCCAGCTTGGGAGGGACTGTGTGGATAATATAATCCAGAAAGTTTTCCATTTTGTAAGAAATACATTTTTTTAAGAGACTACAAAGCAAGAATTATCCACCCACCCCAAATCACACTTTTCTTTAGTGTGTTCCCATTCTATTGGGGTTGCATCACCCTGAAAAAAAAAGACATTTATTAGGTATTCAATAACACAAAGTCATGTGCAAAGAGAATGTCCTTCAACCCTACCCTAGTCTTTAGGGGTTAAGCCAGACACTGAGATGATCTGAATGTTAGTATGATGTATTACCTTTTCTGCCAGGGACAGCACAGTGCTGGCCTGAATTATGGCCACTTGTTCTTCATTTCTTAAGTTCTGTCAAAAAGAAAAAGAGAAAGAGAGAGAGAGAGAGAGAGGAAAGAAAATAAGCTGAAGACACAATATTTGCACTATCAGAAAATACTGCCTAACTGCCTATTATAGATACTCTTGCCTATGCATGCATGAAGGTTAACAACTGTTCTATTTCACTTGGTAACAATTCTTAAAAAAATGTTCATTCAAAATGTGTAAAAAGTACATTAAATGTGATTTTTTATATGTCTCAAATGGACTTGATTTTGTTTCACAGTCGTTTGATGTGATTTAATTGATTCTGTTCTCTCCTTTGATAATTTTTCAAGGCAAAAAAAAAAAAATGGTGTGACTCTTTCAACCTGCATATGCATCATTCATCTAGTATCTCAATGAATGGTCCTCCCACTGAATTAATATGTCTTGACCCTGCCTGGAAGGTGTTTTTTAGAAAGAAAAGAGATTATAGTTTCCTGGTCCATTTTTATGGGGCTGCCACCAACCCTAGTATTTAGCAACATTTGCAACTGCATGACTGATTAATTTCACGCCGGATGGCTCTAAGCAACAGTGAGAAGGTAATTAGCTTTAATCACTGCAGATGTGGTCGGCATTCAAACCTGAAACCAGCCAGCGAAGAAAAGGACTTTACCAGTTTCCATTTCTGCCACTACCTTCCAGAGACCCTTAGAACCCCTCAACTAACTTGTTTGATAAACCATGACTGGTTCTCTTCCATGAACCACATCCTTAAGAGAACATGGTATCTCACTTGCTATTATTTTACATGACTGGCAAATATTTCTTGCTTCTCATTGGGCAAATTCGTATCTTTACTGCCCTTAATCAATTCATTACTTACCCCATTATCACCCAAGATATCAAGCTGCTTTATGAGATCAGGGATGTTCACATCCTGCAATACCAAGGAGATACATTCAAGTTAAAGACACAAATGCGGTTTAGCATTCTATCAGTGCCTGACCCTTAAGTCTGGGAAGACATTTTTTTTTTTTTTTAATTTTTTTTTCCCCAACGTTTATTTATTTTTGGGACAGAGAGAGACAGAGCATGAACGGGGGAGGGGCAGAGAGAGAGGGAGACACAGAATCGGAAACAGGCTCCAGGCTCCGAGCCATCAGCCCAGAGCCCGACGCGGGGCTCGAACTCACGGACCGCGAGATCGTGACCTGGCTGAAGTCGGACGCTTAACCGACTGCGCCACCCAGGCGCCCCTGGGAAGACATTTTAAGACCTGTACTTCCTTGGGTTGTTTTCAATCAGGTACATGTGGCTTTGTTTCCACTCTGCTTCTTGCAAGTTGCGTGAACCTGGGAAAACTACTTAATGGCTCATTCTCAAATTCACCAGCTGCAAAATATCTCCTGATCTTGAGGATAAGAGATTCTATATCAAAGAGTTTAATTTATAATAAGGACTTGGAATTCTTTCATTAATTTTTTTTCCTGATAATTGCCATTTTCTTTTCAATTGCAATAAATTTTAGGTATAAAGAAAACTAACAGGTAATAAGTATAATCAACCAATTTCATTTTAATTAATGGAATTCTAACCTGGTTGAGATTTTGACTGCCACATAGAAAAAAATACAGCACATTCCATCTTTTAGCATTAATTTCATGCTGTGAAAAACAGCTCATTTTAACTATATTTCTTGAGACAGTTTGAAGTAGCCGAACTCCATTTGAAAAAATTTCCCTGAATATAAATTACATCCACTGAATTAGCTTGTTTGTGATTTATCTAAGAAAAAGCATCTAAGGAAAAGACAAAGTACTTTTCATTTAATTAGAGCTGAATAAAAAACAAAACAAAACAAAACAAAACAAAAACATGGCTCTGGTTTACAAATTTTTGTGCAGCCCAGGAAGGCCAGAAATTTAAACACCATGAAAGAGGTCCAGGATGGAAAACAAGGAAACACAATTTTACTGCCTAATTTTCCTCCCACTTTTTACTGCGTTGGTACCACTTTCTCCTCTTACTCACATTCAGATAGCGGTATATCCTTTCCTTCCACCAGGAAGGGGGAGGTCTAGCTCAATCTCATAGGTAGAGAGAAAGCACTGAAAGCAGGTATTATCTGGCAGCTTGGGGTGGGAGCAGGAAGGGCCATGCACAAGGTCAAGGAGAGACCAGGAAGAGCGGGAGGCATCCCAGCTTTCCCTCTGGGATAGATATTCACCATGTGATTTCATTACATTGAAGGGATAATATATTTTCCAGGAGATGGAGCCACCTCCATTCAACCTTAATGTTTAAAATGTATTCCGATATCCCTAAAGATAAAATTACATTTTATCTAAATGAACAATGTTACAAATCATAAATCCTTCCAAAAGACAAATCTTCCCTAGATGAAACATATCAAAAGAGAGGGTGGACCAGATGATTTCAAGGTCCCTTCCAGCACCAGATTCCAAGATTATGAATCCCACAGCACTTAGAACAGCACAACAAAGGGACTCGACAAACACTTTTTTATCTGGTATCCTTGAAATGTGTTTCTTGAAGTATGGAATTTATTTAGTATCTCCCCTAGATAATGAAGGTTAATTATCTTAATATCTGAATTTGCATCATTCCTTATGCTATTGTGTTCTAAATAATCATGGTTTATTGTGTTCTCTATTAACCATTCATACCTCTGTCACACATCTTTTTAATAAATAAAAAAAATTATTTTAAATAAGCTCCACATGCAATGTGGGGCCCAGACTCATGACCCCAAAGATCAAGGGTAGCACACTCTGCTGACTGAGTCAGCCAGGCACCCCTAGGTGCAGCTATTTTCAATATCTACATAGTTTGTATCAAAATGACATCCAGTGACTGAAAAACAAGTCATGAACAACCTCCCCTTTTCCAGTGCCCAGTTTTTCCACTTTCTACAAACATAAAAAATTGAGTGTCTGCCTACCTTGACACCTTCTTTCATACAGTAGATCTGTAGAGCACTCACACCATCTGAGAATGGGTGAATTTGTAGATTAAATGGAGGGGATCGTCTCTCTCTTTCCTTGAAATACAGTGAAAAGTATATGGCAATTAAAAAACAAAAAGCAACAACTGATCAAATGCTAAACCAGTTGTCTGTGTTCTCTCTTTATACTGTTTCAGTTTATCAATGTCATTGTGCAAAAAAAAAAAAATTGAACTCAAGATGTTCATGCTTAAATTTAATGGAAAAGAAGAGATAAATCAACTAAGAAGTATGGTAGAAGAATTTATAGTGTCATTCAGTCTTGCGAGTTTTTTGATCAGAGAAATGTAGGAAGTGAAGTTCCAATTTAAACTACATGAATATTTAGAGCTTTCAGGTGTCACAGAGAATGGTCTTTTGACCATGAAGTTTTATGGCAGCTAACAGCCTTTTGCATATTCAATCTACTCAAGCTTTATGATTAAGATATGTGGGCTACCAAAGATGACTTAACACTTCTTCACGGAGGAGCACCAACCACTAACTCTATCCAAATCTAATTTGAAAAAATCTCAAAAAGAAGCTGCTGGCAAAATAACAGAGCTATCAAATGGGAAATTTCTTACCTTTTACATATCAACATACATTCAACCAGACCCTATGCCAGATTCTTTTTTAAAAAAAATATATATTTAAGTAATCTCTATCCCCAGTGTGGGGCTAGAGCTCATGACCTCGAGATCAAGAGTCACACGTTCTTCTGATGGAGCCACCCAGACACCCAAAAGAAGTCAGGTTTTGTGTGTGTGTGTTTCAGATTATTTTTATAAGTAATGTCTATACCCAACATGGGGCTTGAACTCATGCCCTGACATCAAGAGTCATGTGATCTACTGACTGAACCAGAGGCACCCCACTAGGCCAGATTCTGTGTGATAAAATAAAACTCTGATTTTATTGATATGTTTTACTTAAAAAAAAAATAAAAAAGACAGAAACTTGGCCAGGTTAGCCAAGGTATTTCCTTAAACAAGTTACCTTGCTTTTGGGCCTTTTTCATAAGTACGTTATAGATTTAAAAGTTTACTCACAAATTCAAGTGTCTAAAACAAAATATTTTTGTATATACCAGTCTGAAATACTGTTCTTGAGATAACATTTTTATGAGTCAGAATTCAATGAAGGATGGAAATGATTATTGAGAAGCAATGAAATATTGATGAAGTTTGATATCTATTATTTAAATTATTTAAAAATTATTCATTAGTCTTGTTCTTAAAGGCAATAGTGTTGAAAAGTACAGTCTCTGAGCAGACAATTCTGACTTGCATCAGTGTTTCACCACTTATAGTCATAGGTCTTGGGCAAGTTGTTTAACCTCGGTTGCCTCATCTATAAAATCCTGATTATGGTCATTGAGGTCCAAGGAGAGTATGCATCAGAAATGCTTAATTCAGCACCTCCCACACAGAATGTGTTCAGTGCATGTTAACTGTTATGAGTATTTCTATTATCATTATTATCATCATTGCCTTACTTCTAGCTCTAGGTTTCGAAACTCCAGCAGCTCATTCTGGTCTCGGGCATCCTGTAGTTCTTGTTGCAACCGGTGATTTTCTGCCTCCTGTTTTTCTATCTAATAAAGTAAATCCTCAAGTTAGGTGAACATTGCAAACACCGTCTACAGCTTAGCAAAGCAAGCATGGAGAGCACTCGTTTATGTGGTGAATAAATCATCTAGACCATGAAAAAAAAATCCCAATGAGATGTGAGCAAAAGAAGTCTTACACTTTCCTCCTAGTTATCCTTTGGTTGAGTTTTTTGTGTCATGGAGGAAAATGAGACAAGATGACACACATTCACTGACAACGTCTGGGGACCCTGTGAGTAGTGAATCTGCGAGTACTCATTAGGCTCTTGCTGTGGGTCAGGGACAGTGTCCTGAGACTAAATTTAATGGGGTAAATCATGGACACTGACATCTCTTGTTTCTGGAGTTACAAATGGTTGGAGAAATTTTACCTAAATAGCTCTGATCATATACAAAACTTTGAGGGGTTCCAGTTATCCATAAAATAAAGCCAAACTTGTCAATGTGGAATTCAAACACCTAGCTTTCCAGGCTTAAATATTCTGTCATCTCTAGACACACACACACACACACACACACACACACACACACACACACACTCTCTCTCTCTCTCTCACGTGTGATCACACATAAGAATCTAGAAATTCCTATCTACCCTATGGACTGATTATGCCAGGAGCTAGATCTTTGCTCATCTCTCTGCCTAAAAGAGGCTCCCCCCATTTCCTTTCCTATGTGAGGAAATCCTATTCTTCCTTGAACACGGAACTCTAATATCCCCTACCAGAAGAGGCTTCTTTTGTTTACCCATTTAGAAGTTACACCTTTTCCCTCTGTTTTCCTATACGATGTCTATAACCTGACGAAGCATAGAATTAAGTTAGTTGTGTAAAATACGCCTCACCCTGTAAGACAGGCCCATATCTACAAGGGCTCAGAAAATTTTCATGATCTGTAATAGATTCGGGGCTGCCTTTGATTTTTAAGCTGTGTGGGTGGACCCTTAGGCACAGTAACTATTTAAAATCTTGAACTTAGAAACAAAAATCCAGGGGCTTTTTATCATAGGATGAATCTTACTTCCCCAAGTATACACACTTGAAGTAGGATGTTTAGCTTTATTATCATTTTTGGTTTTCTTTTACTCTTAGAAGCTTGAGCCCCTCAAATTCTCCTTGTAGCCCAAGAAATCAAGACCGAATGGAATCAGACAGAAGACATAATGAGAATTATTTTTTAGGTGATAAAGAAGTGTAATAACACTTACCACTGGGCATCTCTGAGACTACTAGAAGTTGACTTAGATCACAAAAAGAGATTCTACTACCTAGAATCTTGAATTTGGATCAGAGATGGGATATTTGAGGAGATGTTTGATTCTGGTGGATAGCAGTAGCAATTAGGTCAGTGGATCTTGGGTTGCAATTCAGAGACCAGGGCCGATGTGTGATGAAGCTTCTTTACAGGGACCCCTCACCTCTCTGAGAGTACCAGTTCTCGATCCTGGAATACCCACCCGCCTTCTATCCATCTGCTCTGTTTCTCCTCATTCAGAAAGTGAGGTAGGGTAAGGACTGCTAGATCAGAGGGGAGGGAGGACAAGCATCTTCTTTCCCTTTGCATGCTTACAAGAGTGTTGTGGTTAATTTTCATCTTGCCACGGCTAGTGAATATTGGCAGAAAAAATCCTAAAGTAATTTCTACATAACCTTTGGATGAACCAACAGAATTATTTCCCTTATTCAAATGGGCTTTCAAATTCTGTTTTTTTTTTTTCAAGAATAATTTAAAGTTACTTTGTAATCTTTTCACTGGATTTATGGAAGGTGAATACTGATGGAAAGAACCACCTTTGAAGTTAAAATGATCTCTGTTGTATTTCACTGCCCCAATCAAAAGCCTGTGTTCAGATAATCGAATTAATTATATGTACTAGGCCTAAACCATGCTTTTGCATCTTGATTTGTTGAACAACTTCCTGGACATGCTGTTTTGTACCTTGGATGCATCTTTTAAAAAGTTCTTTATTTAAAAAAAGTATATATATATATGTATATATATATATATATATATATATGCATATATATATGTATATAAATAGCCAAGATTAGCAAAATGATTAAGAGTGAGAACACAGTCTATGCTAGGGTGCAGCATGTTCTTGGAGTTATATTCTGTCACTGCCTTGCACAAAATAACAGGTCCTAATCACAGTGTGTTTTTTGTAGATGGACAACCACATAGGATGTGTGCACGTGTGGGTGTGTGCATATATATACATACAGATGTACAGTACCTACACAGTATATATATATATATATATATATACACAAACACATAGTTAACAAATCAATAGGCTTCAGGGATCACAGCCTCTCAAGTTGGCACAACGCCAGCACAGAGCCATGCACACGTGCCACTAAGTGATGGCGATGGTGGTGACAGGGATGCAGTTGAGCACGCAGCAGAGGAGAGTGCAGCACCGGGAAAGCCTCCCCTCCCCCGAGCCCCTGTGCCACTCCTGAGAGGACCCCCTGCTGCTCCTGGATCTCTCATCATTTTCTCCTCTGCCCCACTAGGGTGTTGCGCCCAACATACCTTTTCTAAAAGCTCCTGGTTTCTCTTAATGAAAAGTTGTTTATCTTCTACCCAGTGTGAATCCTGTTTGACAAAGAATACCGTGTAGTCAGCATTTCAGAGTGGCACGAAAGAGCCTGTGTCAAACCACTTTCCAGAGCTGTCTTCTCTCACCCAGTTTGTTGGCCTGCTGATGGCTGGTAAATGACACCCACCCCCGTCAGCTCCTCATTCAAGAACATTGGGGCCAAAGTTGCCAGGAAAATTGAACCCCCTCTTCATTGTCACTCACTATCTCTAACTTATTCAGTCTGAATAATCCAGGACCAGCCTTCCGGGGACTCAGAAGTGACCACATAGGCAAAAAGTGAAAAGGGTCAGAGTGCACACAGGCTAGATACATATGGATGGAAAACATTAAAATGCAGAACCATAAATGTAGCAGAGAGGCAAAGAATGCAGCTTGAGGGGCGGGTCTTTGTCTTAGCAGCTTATGACCACTCTAGGCTATTTGTACAGCGCTCCGCTTCCTCTGGCATTCCCTCTCTTGCCCAGCCTCATTCATTGTTGTAGCTGGGCTCACACTCTGGCCAGAAAAACACCAGGGACAGAAACACAGAGTTGAACATTCTGACACAGTGTGAGAAAGGTCACTGTGGAGAGCCAAGCTGTGTCCTGGGTGCAGCCCATGCAAAGGGTGGTCTAGAGGAAGGTCAGATTGGATTGTCTGCATCTGCAGGAGTGCTAGCCATCAAATGCCTACCTGCCCTTTTTGAGCCAGAGTCGCTTCCAGATCTTCAATTTTGGCTTTATACCTTAGCACCTCTGCTTGAAGCTGTTCCTGAGCCTAGTGAAATCAAAATTCCAGAACTCAGTAAGTAAAATGGTTCAGTACTTTTCCTCCCCTCATGTTCCTTGATTAGCACTCAATAAGAAAGAAAAACAACTTTTTTCTATGACGAAAGATCCTTTTAAAACTATTTTTTTATGGTTTTTTTTTGAGAGAGAGAGAGAGAAAGCATGAGAGGGACAGAGACACAGAATCCGAAGACAGGCTCCAGGCTCTGAGCTGTCAGCACAGAGCCTGATGAGGGGCTTGAACCCACGAACTGCAAGATCATGACCTGAGCTGAAGTTAGACACTTAACCGACTGAGCCACCCAGGTGCCCCTCCTTTTAAAACTATTTTTATGGTCGGGGCTCCTGGGCGGCTCAGTTGGTTAAACATCTGACTCTTGATTTCAGCTCAGATCATGATCTCGCAGTTCATGAGATGGGAACGTCGCCTGGGGCTCTGTGCTAACAGCGCAGAGCCTGCTTGGGAGTCTTTCTCTCTACATCTCCCTCTGCCACTCCCCCACTCACCTTCTCTCCCTCTCTCTCTACATAAATAAATGAACTTTAAAAAACCCTATTTTTATGGTCTAAATTTTTGCTTAAAACTTTCAATGTTCTCTTTATTATCAGGTTAAAATTCAAACTTGTCAGCTGAGATTTGAGAACTCCCATTATATTTGCAGTCTTTTCCCCCTACTCATCAACAAAGTTCACCCCTGATTTACTGGTGATCTCCTTATATCCTAAATATGCCTTATAACCCTCCACTTCTCTGTTTATTTGAACAAATTCCCCTTCTGGGGAGCCTTCTCTCATGTTGCCTCTCCCAAAACTTACCATTCTTTCAGAACCAACTTTGTGCTTTAAATCTAAATCCAGATGTATGCATGTATGTATGTATTGTGTGTGTGTGTGTGTGTGTGTGTGTGCATGTGTGTGCGTGTGTGTGTGTGTGTGTGTGTGTGTGTGTGTGTGTGTGTATCAGCAGTTTTGGATACTGATCAGCACAGAGCCCGATGCAGGGCTCGAACCCATGAATGGCAAGATCATGATCTGAGCTGTAGTTGGATGTTTAACTGACTGAGCCACCCAGGCACCCCTGGACACTGACCTTCTATGGAGCAATCGGACTTCATTTGTTTTCAGATTCCCTTGTATTCTCCCTACACAGGACCTTATTCTCCATGAAAAATTAGTGGGTTTTTTGTTTGCTTTTTGCCCATACACATATTTTATCTTGTCTTATCTGGATAGGTCATTATCCTTATTACAATGTAGAATAAAGTCAGCAATGGCAGGTATCCTTTCCTTTTTTCTTTCTTCCATTCTTCCTCCTTCCTTCCTTAAAAGTAATCTTTATGCCCAACATTGGGCCCAAACTCGCAACCTTAAGATCAAGAGCTGCATTCCCTATTGACTTAGCCAGCCAGGAATCCCTCCTTTTCTTATTCTTCATGATGAGGAAGATGTATCTTTGGACAATGAAGATTATATTTACCTTTATCTGGTTAAAAAAAATTCTAAGCTTAATTTTGCCAAGAATCATTTTAACTTCAAATGAGTGTTGAGTACAATCAATTTTCTTTCGTGTATCAAAATGATCACATCTTTTGTTTCACTGATACTCATTCATCTATATTATTTATTTTTGCATTTCTACTTTGAACTTACTCTATTGCTTTATTTCTAACATATTGATTTGTTTTACACTATTTTGCCGAGAATGATTAAGTTGTTTTGTTTTTGGCCAGAGATAATGCTAAACCTTTATTTGGAGAAGAAGGTGAGATGAGAGAAAGTTTCTACATCATTACCTCTTCAAAAACAAAACATATGGTCTTATTTTAAATGACCAATCCTATGTTGGTGAGAATGCTTAGAACATACTGAAAATGAAAACCACAACTGATAGTAGAGCATAAACACAAAGGAACACACATACCTCCCTTTCTAATGATTGCCTGCCTGTCTATTCCAAATCACAGGTTTCTTTTTTAAAACATTTATTCAGTTACGTATAAACATGTGCATGTACATATATTTCCATTTAAAAATACATAATTATAATATCTATCCTGTCCCACTAAACAACTAACAGTAGTTCTTACAACATTCCTCAGCACACTACAGACCCTCTAAATTGAAAGTGAGACAAAATCACTGGGTGGTCATATTCCTTCTTGCCCCATGTAAATTAATCTATGAGGCAGTTATGGCATGGTGGTTATGACTGAACTCAGAAACACGAGGTTCATATCCTAGCTATCATCTAACTAAGCTACATATCCTGGTTTCAACCTAGCTAATCTACATTTAACTCCTACTAAGCTATTATCTCCTCTCCTATAAAAAGCACATAGTTAATAATAGCCTATAACTCATAGGGTTGTTTTAGGATTACGTGAGATAATGTATGTAAAGTGCTTAGAACAATGCCTGGAACACAGCAAGCACTCAATAAATTGTAAGCATTAGTACTGTATGCATATATGTATGTGTGTGTGTGTGTGGGGGGTGGGTGTCTTAAAATAACGGTTTTTAAAAAACCGTGAGGCAGTTGTAGCGTAATGAAAAGAACGTGTGACCCAGTTAGATTTTACCTGGAATCCAAGTTTTCTATTTATTAGCTGTGTGATCTTGGGCAAGTCAATTAACCTCTCGGAGCCTTAAACTCCTCTTTTATAAAATACCTGCCTTAGGGTGCTGTTATAAAAATCAAATGAGATACTGGCACTGAAAATTCTTTATGAGCTTTCAGTTTCATGCTGTGCACTTATTAACTAAGAAAAGAAAATGACTAACCACTGAAGTATTTTTTTTCCCAAGAAAGAAGCTAAATAAAGTGGATTATCAAAATTCAATATTGTCTAGCTTTGAAAATATAAGTTTTCAAATAGCAAGCATAAGAACTACTATCTTTACAGGAACAAAAGCATCGATCTAGGTTGGTTCTAATGTCTCTAGATCCAAGGTTTGTTGACATAAAAGATGAAACAGTTCAAAAGCCACAGTGGAGAGAAGGATCCAGGGAAATCTATCCTATTGATATTTTTACGTCCATAGTACTTTCATGTTGTGACTGCTGCAAGCCAATTCAGAGCATGCTCCCTGGATGGATACTGACCTTGGCTTCTCTTTCAGCATCGATGATACCTCCAGTCTGCTCCTGTAGGAGGGCATATGCTCTCTGAAGGGCCTGGTATTCTTTTGTTAATTGTCGAAAGCGTAGCTCTGATTCTTCAGCCGCTAAACTCTTAAGGTGACAAAAAAAAAAAAAAAAAAAAAGCCAAAAAATAATTATGTTACATTCCGGTCCTGTGTTCAATATGAAATATTAACATTTTCCCGCTTTATAAGGAGAAATAAATGTATGATACTGGATTTGGTGTGATTTTATTCTTAATTTTAAAATGCATACATAGACACGAATTATGTACTTTCAAGATGGACATTGCAGAAATACTCAATATTTGTTAATAAGAGGCATTTGCTTATTTATACATTTCTGATGATTGCTCATTTGGGCTTGCATTGCAGTCAATTTTGGACCCAAATGAGAACTTATATCTAGTCTGGATACAAATGTGAGTCAATAATACTTAGAGTTTTAGTCTCAATTCTTTTCAATACATTCAAATCCAACAACTTCTTCCAGAGATAAATTATAAAAACATAGTTTTATAGTTTTACGTCTCAAACTTCAGAACATAATACAATCATCAGGGAGTTTTGGGAAAAATACAGAGTTGAGGGTTCTACCCACAGGATCCTAAGTCAGGAGTTGTGCAGTAGAATCCAGGAATTTTCAATGTGATCAAATCCCCCTAGATGATTTTGATAAAGGTAGTCTACAGGGCACATTCTGCTAAACCCTGTCTTTAACTGTATCGAGAAGCTTGTTCTTCTAAGCTTGTTTCTTGGTTCACACCTTCTCTAGATGAAGAATTTTGGAAACTTTCTTTTTTTAAGTAGGGGCTTGAACTTATGACCCTGAGATCAAAAGTTGCATGCTCTACTGACTGAGCTATCCAGGCAGTCCAGAAAAGGGACTTTTATTTTGAAAAAAAAAAAAAAAAAAGTCTTCAAGTTACAGAAGTTTACACAAGTTGTTAAAAAGGCTACATGACACAGGTGAAGCTATTTTCCAAGAGGTAAAAAAGTCAAAAGGGTTCACTATTATGTGATCATGTTGTGCAGCTCATACAGGATATTAGAAGTGCAAGGCTTCTTTCCCACCTTAAAGGAAAGATTTGGTGACAATATCACAAAGACTAGAGAAGCGGAAAAGCTTACTTCATCCAAGTCGTCATCAGGAGTAGCTGGTGTTCGGTCTGTTCTAAATGATGCCATAGATGACGTCTCTGAATCCATGGAGTCCTCATCGTAGCCAATAAATGGGTCCAAAACAGGCCTCTAGGGTAGGGAAAGTACATATTTACTGACACGACTAGAAGTGGAGAAAGTCAACATATTATGAAGACACCATCGGCCGGCATATGTGCAAATGGACACAGAAGACAGGGGTCCTTTAGTGCTTCTCAGATGAAAGAAAAGCTTTGGGCATGAACACTATAATTCCAATAAAAGTTTGTCCCACATTATTTCACACTTCTGAAGTTTTGGGGGGAATATTCATTAACATTTGGCTCCATTCATTGAATAGTCTTTTCAGTATTTAAAATATAATCAAGAAACCTAAAGTCCAGGCATCTATGTGAGATTCTCAAATCTTAAGTCTTATCATCCAATCCCATATCCAAATCAAATGATGTACTTGATAAAAACAAAATCAAGTAGACAAATTAAATAAAAAAAACTCTGTGGATTGTAAGAGGCTATACAAATATTGGTGGATTGGGAGTACCATTATTTTTTAATGATAATTTTTCTAAGTTTATTTGAGAGAGAAGAGAGAGAGTGCAAGCATGAGCAGAGGAGGGGCACAGAGAAAGAGTGAGAGAGAGAATCTCAAGCAGGCTCCACACTCAGCACAGAGCCCAATGCGAGGCTCAATCTCACAACCACGAGATCATGATCTGAGCCAAAATCAAGAGTTGGACACTTAACCGAATGAGCTACCCAGGCACCCCTGAGAGTACCATTATTAATAATCATTATCAATATTATCCAAGTGAATAATGGAATAAAAATCAAACCCTTATCAGTAATACTGTCCAACTGAATAATAAAAATATACTAATCAATTATAGGGTGGGTATGAGACACTAATAATATTTTTCGCTGGGAGGCATTAAATCATATGTATCTCTTGCATGTTCTTGGAGTTTGACTCTCCAGCTTGTCAGATACTGCTTTCTACATCAAACCCAGTGCTTTCTTTCACTCAGATAGTCTCATATTAAAGCAAACTTTAAAGGTTAAAATCCATAACACAATCATTTGGGGACTTCTAAGAACTGTCAGGAGAAGAGATTTTCTTCTAGCAAATAAAGCCCATGGTTTGCTTCAGTGTAGGAACATCTGATTTATCACATCTTTGCAGGAAGATTCCTTGGCAAGCCTCACTTCCCTGGCAGTGTTTGTGGCAAAAGCCTGATAACCTAGTTTTCCCATTACCTTAATTGGCTTGGAACTTCTTCTATGTTTTCTCCTACGGATGAGCTTTTCTCGGTCCTGGAAAACAGATGAAGCTTTTCAGGTGTTGAGTTGGTACATATTTTCCTATAGGTGTTTTTTTTTAATTTTTTAATGTTTATTTATTTTAGAAAGAGAGACAGAGTGTGTGAGTGGGGGAGGGGCAGAGAGAGAGGGAGACACAGAAGCCAAAGCAGGCTCCAGGCTCTGAGCTGTCAGCACAGAGCCCGACGTGGGGCTCAAACTCACAGACTGTGAGATCATGAGCCGAGCCAAAGTTGGATGCTTCACTGACTGAGCCACACAGGTGCCCTAGGTTGTTTTTTTTTTTTTTTTTTTTTTTTTTTTTATGACAGAGTTTGTTTTTGCCTGAGTCATTACATATTTCTATTTAAAGTAAAATTGTGTTTTGTAATTTTGGCAACTTTTAGGTTTGATACTTACATATTTTTTTAAAGTTTTTATTTATTTAAGTAATCTCTACATTCAAGGTGGGGCTCAAGCCCAGGACCCTCAGCTCAAGAGTCACAAGCTCTTCTGGTGGAGCCAGCCAGGTGTCCCATATATACTTACATATTTTTATAGTAAAAATACTCTACAACTTTTCTTGATCATCTATGTGGATCTGAGAGCCTCCCAATCAGGAAGGGCACAGTCTTCTTCAGCAGAATCCTTTGTTATACCTAAAGATTAAGTAGCTCTGAAAAGAGTAACTCGTATTTTCCCAAAGCACAATTTTTCAGTTTCTTTCAGTAATTTTTCAAATTACTTTATATTTAGGTACTGAAAAAAATATTACTGTACAAAAACTTTATTCTTTGCATTTAATCAGTTGAAGGCACAGAAAACTGCCCTTTGACTATTCTTAGACCCTTGTTCTCACCTGCAGCCTCTGAAGACGGAAACAGGAGTATCTACTGAATTGGAATCATCTGGTGTGTGAAGGGACAGTGGTTCTTGTTGGAATGTTCTGGGAAACTCAAAGAATATCTAGAAATAATGATTGATTTCCTGATTCATTCTTGTTATGGATGGAGATATCCTGGGAATTGGGCATTCATCTACGAAGTACTCTATGTATTTACTGTACAAATTCAAAGGTAGATTAAATAAGTGACAGTTTCCCTGAAAGTCTGGATGACATGCCTCCACATGTCAAAATCCTGTAAGAAACTTAGCTTTAACCTTAGACACTCAAAGCTGAGCAAATTCTTGGCTGAGTGAATCTGCGATTTAAGAGTTATTAAGGATATGGATGTGAAGTAAGAGGCACAGTGCTTCACATGTTTTATAAATAGTCTGGTTAAAGTCAGTAATGTTAACTTTTTGGATTTCCTGCCTTGTAAAAAGTATTTTGATCATACAACCTCAACATATCTGAATCTAGGGAAGTTTACACTTAGATTATCCTCCTAATACACTATATGTCTTATAACATAGACTGAACTTAGACCATTTACAAAGGGTAAACCACAAATAGTTACAAACAGAAGTTATAATCTTCTCTTCCTTCAATGGCAGGAAATTATCTTGTTCACCCTTCTCTGGAGACACCTGCCTAACCACCCCCACCCCACTGCTGTTTCCTCAATTCTCCAGGCCTCAGCTGGGTCCTAAAGTGAGAGCGACCAGAGATGTCAATCACAGAATAAAGACCAAGAAGCAAAGAGGAAACCCAAAGGCATCTAAAGGTCTTAGTCCACTACTGATGGTAAAACAGGCCTTGACGGGATGCAAATGGGAATAGTAATTGTTCTACACACTTCAGTAGGTACTAAATTCACAGTCAGAACACGGGGAATGAAACTTCCACTGTGTCACGTAATTACGAGGTCACTATTCATTCAACAAATATTTATTTATTTAAAGTTTATCAATTCATTTTGTGAGAGAGAGAGAGCGCATGCATGCACACCTGAGTGGGGGAGGGGCAGAGGGAGTGGGGGGGAGAGAGAGAGAGAGAGACAGACAGACAGACAGACAGAATCCCAAGCAGGCTTGGCAGTGTGAGGGACTCGAACTCATGAGCTATGAGATCATGACCCGAGCCGAAGTTGGATGCTTAACCAACTGAGCCACCTGGGCAGCTCTCAACAAATAGTTAGTAAACTGCACATAAGTACTGGACACTGAATTAAATGTTGGGAAATAAAAGGCATGTGGTCCTGCTATTGTTGGCAAAATATTTCATCTCTTACCCTCAGAATCTTGATACAGGAAGGCAATTAGAAGGCATACCCACACTACCTCTCTACTCGCATAAGGATGCATTTGAAAGTCCTTATAAGGTACTTTGCAGTTAGTATTTATGTTGTCAAATTAGTTAACTAAGGATTATAATTGAAAATGTATAAAACAGCTTAATAATATAAAGTAATTTTGGAATACAGTCATTTCAAACTATTTATATATTGAATATATAAACTTGGGCCTTTGGGGCTAATCTGAAGAAATTATCAAGTGCTTCCAGCATATGTTGATTTCTTGGCTACTTGTCCTTGGGAACAACTTAGAGTTTATAGACTGATCAAGACCCACCCTTGTGAGCTCATCAATGATGTTCTGCTGCTCAATGACTTGAAGTTTTAAAAACTCTGTCTCTTGTTCTTCATTAGCTTGATCGAGGTCATTCAGTGATTTTAATTTCTTCAAGGGTGGATGGGATGTTATTTTTTCTCTCTGGAGTGGAAAAGAATAAAGTATAGGTTAAAGACATAAAAAAAAAAAAACAAAACCCCAAACTTTAGTAGTTAACATAAAATATCTGCAGAAACTTTATGAGGCTCCAGCTAAATGTGAAAATTGCTCAAGTTCATCTGCACACCAACCAAAACCCTCAAGTACATTTTATTTGCTACGAGTCAAAATCACTGGGAATGTCTGAAGATCCCTATAGCTACCTTGTAAGTCTGTTAAGGAGTGGATGTGCTCATCACCTGTCCACACAGAATACAAACAATGGCGGAGTGCCTGGGTGGCTCAGTCGGTTAAGTATCCGACTTCGGCTCAGGTCATGATCTAGAGGTTCCTGAGTTCGAGCCCCATGTCAGGCTCTGTGCTGACGGCTCAGAGCCTGGAGCCTGCTTTGGATTTTGCATCTCCCTCTCTCTCTGCCCCTCCCCTGCTCACGGTCTGTCTCTCTGTGTCTCTCAAGAATAAATAAACGTTAAAAAGTTTTTTAAAAAAAATAATACAAATGATGGCAACTATTTCTCAACTATTACGCAAGGTCTTAGAAGACGAGAGGTACCCATTGTACAGTTCTATAAAGAGCACATTAGTGAAATTCTTGCAAGTTTCTGTGGCTGAGGGCTATGTTAAAAGTTTGCTTCTATATTTGGGAGTTTCTGGAAAGTGCAGATTCCAACCATTCTGCAAACTTAGAAGCCCCTTAAAATTCAGCCCCACGTTGCTTTCTTCCTTAAAGGTTCCTTCCTTACATAGGGAAAACCCAAACTTTCATGACTGGCATCGTATTTGAAAAACAAACTGAGAAAGAACAAATAAGACAGGTTGCTGGAGTAACGTAAGGACAGAAGCTGAAGCTTCTCAGAGTCTCTGATACACACCATTTCTGAATTTTCCTTTGTCACAGCTTTTAGCTTCTCTTCCATGCGCTGCAAAGACACCATCAGTTCATCGTTTCTCTTGGCGAGGCACTTGTTCCTTTCCAGAAGGGGTTTACATTGCTTTTCGGTTTCTCGCACACGTTTTAACTGGGAAGACATAAGTTACAATTTGTCTCTTGTGCAAGAGTGGATATGGGAGCAGAAGGAGTCAAAGCCCATCTGGGGCCACCTTTTCTCTGCTTCACCATGTATCTTGGGATTGACCACTTCCATCATTCATTTAACAGCCTGACTGCTTTGTTCTCAGTTTCCTCTAATGGTTTTTCTATTTTTTTTTAATGTAATTTCTTTTTGAGAGAGAGAGACAGACAGACAGACAGACAGAGAGACAGGGCATGAGCAGGGAAGGAGCAGAGAGAGAAAAATCCACAGAATCTGAAGCAGGCTCCAGGCTCTGAGCTGTCTGCACAGAGCCCAAAGCAGGGCTCTAACTCACGAACCGTGAGATCATGACCTGAGCTGAAGTTGGACGCTTAACTGACTGCGCCACCCAGGTGCTCCTGATGGTTTTTCATCATAGTCTTCTGAACTCTGTATCAATGTGTTACCTTAAAAGCTGCCAAAGTTCTGCTTTTGGAAATGCTCAGGAAGAGCAACTTCATACCTTGCACGTCCTTGATTCCTGTAGTCCAGTTACCATGCTGTGCTCAGCCCCAATCTCACGCTGCTCACACCTCTCCCTGGGCCTGTAATGACCCCTCACTGGCTCAGAAAGATAAAGCAGCTCATATGAATCACACATCACTAAGTAGTACAACTGGGACCCAAACCCAAGCCTAGTTATTGCCAAAGTCTGTTCTTCCCATGAGAGATCTTGCTAAGACTCCTGAACCATGCTGAAGCTCTTTATTTTTATTTACATGTTTAAAGTTTATCTATCTTTTTGTAATCTCGACACCCAACATGGGGCTTGAACTCATGACCCCGAGATCCAGGTGCCCCAAAGATGCTTATTTTTAAGAAAATTATTAAGGGGGGGGGGACTTACTCTCAAAGTTCTGTTGATATTTATGTTTAAGAACATTTAATTCTCCCCAAGCCTAGGCTAAGTATGATTGTATTCATACCCCCCAGTAATTAAGAGTGACCATATTCTGGTTCACCTGTTAGTCTAAGGCAGGATTTCTCAACCTCTGCACTGTAGACATTGTGGGCTAGATAGGTTTTGCCATGAGGAGATGTCCTGTACATTGTACCATGTTTACCAGCATCCTTGGCTTCTGCTCACTAGATTCCAGTAACATCCTCCCAGTTGTGACAATCAAAAATGTCTCCAGGTACTGACAAAATTGCCTATAGCTGAGAACCACTGGCCTAACTTTATGGATGCTGTCTTGGGGTAATTGTTAATAGTCGCCATCCCTTTTACTCTCCAAACTCTCCCACTTGGATGGCATATTTTATGTTCATTCTATACCTAATGGATTTCCATATTAAAGTTCCTATGGTTAGTTCATTCACTTTATACTAATGATTCTGAATGATATGTCTTGGGGGAGGGGTACTGAAGCAAGAAAAGTGGTGGGGTGTATCAGAACCATCTGACAAGACTGCTCCTGTTTCTGAGACTCCAACGTTTTGGGAAGTGCTGGGATAGGAGACTTAGCTACCTATAAATATTTGAAAAAGCTGCTCGTGTGATTCTGAAACAGTATTCCCCAACTGTCATTTGAAAACTCATTTTATATTGAAGGCCAAAATTTTTCATAACCCCATTTAATCCTGAGTTTTGAGCTTCAAGTATCTGAAGCAAACATATTAAATATTGAGCACATACAAGGACAAATAAATTATTCCACTAGGTTTGCTATTTTAAACTTTGTCTCTTTGCCGAAGGTCAATGACAAGGATTTTAAATAGTTGTTTTTAAACAGGCTCCACACCGGGTGTGGAGCCCAATTCGGGGCCTTATCTCACAACCCTGAGGTCAAGACCTGAGCTGAGATCAAGAGTCAGATGCTTAACCAACTGAGCCACCCAGGTGCCCCCCGGGGTTTTAAATAGTTAAATTTACTTAGTAGATGCTATTTATGGAAGATGTAGATAAACAGAAATAAAAGGAGATATCAGTAATTCTACCAGATCATACATCAGTAACCATAGATCCAAAGTACCCCCAAAAATGTTCCTTTTAAAAGAGGTAGCTTAGGGATGCCTGGGTGGCTCAGTCAGTTGAGTGTCCGACTTCAGTTCAGGTCATGAACTCACAGTTCGTGAGTTTGAGCCCTGCATCAGGCTCTGTGCTGACAGCTCAGAGCCTGCTTCAGATCTCTGCCCTGCTCTCTCTCTCTCTCTCTCTGCCCCTCCCTCAAAAATAGACATTAAAAAAAGAGATAGAGTTTAAATGCTATGAAGTTTGAAAGTCAATATAGTTATTCATGAAACCACTAAGAGAAAAAATTCTGATGTAGTTCAACTAACACCAGATCAAGACTTTAAGAAGTATTACGGAAGATAAAAAAAAATTCATGATGCAAGTATTTAACAAATCTTAATTTATATATACCTAGTACCCTGACTTCAAATACATATATAGCAGAATCGACAGAACTAAGAATAGAAATGGACAAATCTGTTGGGAGAATAAGCACACAAAAACGTTGTAAAGATATAGGAGATTAATGAACTTGATTCAAAATGCATGCAATGATCACAGGGTATACCTTCTTTTCATGGGAACATGGAATATTTCTAAAGGTGAGAAGAGGCTAGCATCATAAAGTGAATCTCAACGAATTTTAAAGAATGAAATGATACAAAGAATACCTGACTAATGTAACATTGTGTGTCAACTATACTTCAACTTAAAAAAGAAAAAGAAATAATACAAAGTATGTTCTCTGATTGTAGTGGACTTAACGTAGAACTCAGTAAGAGAAAGGTAACTCAAAAATCTCCAGATGTTTGAAGTTAAGCCTTGAGGGCTAAGTAACCCATGGGTCAAAGGAGAAATCCTACATTAGAAAAGATTTTGAACTAAATAGTAATATATTATGACATTAAAAAAAAAAAAAACAAATGGGATGAAGCTAGTCATGCTTAGAGATATTTATAACCTAAAATGCATATATTTGAAAAAAAGGAAAGGCTGGAAATAACTTCTTTGTACCAAGAGCCACCATCAAGAATCTAAAATGTAAGGCACAGAGCAAGATATTTTAAATACAAGTATCCAAAAATTATTTAAGAATTCCTATTCTTAATAAGAAAATAAAGACAGTACAAAAGAAAATTTTACAAAAGACAAAGGGCAACTTGCACAAGGATACCCAGAAGGCCAAAAGATATGTAAAAAATTATTCAACCTCAGTATTAAGGAAAGTAAAAATTAAAATCCTACAATACAAATTATCGCTCACACTCACCAAAGTGACTAATATGATCAATTATCGGTTCATGTTGGAAAAGATGTGGAGAAGCCGTAACTCTCATACATCGTTGGTGGGAATGTAATTGCTATAACACGTGTGCAAAACTGGCAATACCTACTGAATCTTGCCACATGCATAACTCTATGATCCAGTAATTCTGTTCCTTGGGAAGTTCTCACCAGAAATGAACATGTTTTCTCACCAAAGACATGCACCATTAACATTAAAACTGTCAAGAAACGATATAAATGTCCATTAACAATAGAAGAGTAAATATACTGTGGTGTATTATTGGAAAAATAGAATAAGAAAACGAATGAATTATACATGCAATGCAATGAATGACTTTCACAAATGTAATGCTGGGCAGAAAAGCCAGACACAGAAGAGTAATTATTGTATGATGCCATTTATATAACATTTTAAAACCGGTGGTGGACCTTTATAGCGATAGAATTCAGTGGAGCGATCGATTATCTCTAGAACGATGGTGACTGGAAGCAGTCACAAGAAAGGGACGATCTGAGCTGCTGGTAATCCATGTCCTCATCTGGGTGGTAGTTATATGGGTGTGTCACTTTGGGTGCATTTATTAAGCTGTGCCTTTATCATTTCTGCATTTTTCTTTATTATGTTATACTTCTACATCATATATACTTTTTTAAACAAAATGCTTAACTAATTAACCAACGAATTCTGATCAGAACTCACCAGTTCATTTCGTTCATCTCCAAGCAAGGTATTCCTGTCTTCTAATTTTCTTATGGTGGCATTCAATTCAGCTATTCTCTTTTGATTTCTTCTCAAATCCTACACATGAAAATTGAAATGGGCATTTCTTCAGTAACATTTTTCTTTTCTCTCTCTTTTTTTTTCAATAACACTTTTCACAAGGTTTTGGAGTTCCACTCATAAATAATTAAGAGGCTTGATATCTTTCATCTGGCTTATGAGGTGAGACTAAAATGTTCTCTATTCAGAGAAGAGTAAATATTTACCCTCTTCTAACCCTCAACATTCACTGCATGGATTGAAGACCAAGACTGGTTGAAATTGCAAGTGAATTCCATGTGGCAGATACTCTCTGGAGCCCTGACTCCTGGCAGGGGGAGTAGTAGATGGTTGGATGAACTTATCAGATCTGTGGGCTATGAGGCCAGGGTCATGTCATAATTACATGAGGTTCAAGAAGCATCTCTTAAGTCATGGCTGCACATTGCTTCCCACAGCTAAGACAGATGTCCTATTACACTTAGCCAAAGAGTAGAAGGTAGGGCTGGGCTTTAAAAATTCCTATGTATTCCTGGTGAAAAAGGCCAGTGTGAGAAGGCTGGTATATTGCCTTCACATATAAAAGGCAGTAGATTATAAGACAGCCTTTGCTAGTACATTTTGCCCAGAACACCTGGCTTCCCCACTGGCATCATTGCTGTGGATCACTTTACACATGGCATCATGGATTAAGTCTATGCTCCAGAGTCCACAGGACCATTAGAGACTTGCAATTCCATTATCATCTTATATTTTGAGAGTGCTGTACTGTTGATAAAGCAGTTTCCCACACATTATATCTCCAGATTCATAGAATCCTAGAGGATTCAGCAGATCAGGGAAGATTCAGAGAGGTCACACTCATCCAAGGGCTTGTGGCTACTACCAGTAGATCCATAATTAATATGCATTAAATGCTGACTATGAGCCAGACACTATGCTCAACATTTTACGTACCATTTCTTCTAGACTCTGAGCAGCCTTACGGAGTAGCACTATGGCCTCTCTTTTACGGATGAGGAAATTCTGAGCAGTAAAATAATTTGCCTAAGGTCATCTGGTATGTGGTAGATCCAGAATTTGAACTAAAGAGTCTGACTCTAGAGCCCATTCTCTGGACAGTTTTGCTGCACTGCAGGTAAATGTCAGTGATAGAACTAAAACTTACGTCTGCTAAATCCTGGTTCCGCCACCTACTGGGATATATATATCCTGAATACCAATTCATAAATTATTCATTACTTGGTTCTAAGTACTACTTTGGAACCTTTCTCTGTTCCTAAATAATCCATTTTCATCTTTTTAGCAGCTAAATAATTTGAAAGGTATAACTTATGAAAGTCAACTATATACAAGCTGATTTCTATGGCTGCAGTTCTGAAAATAATTTCTCATATAAAATGATGAAAATCCAGGGTAATAAGCGGCAAGTTCAATCAGAATAGAAGCTTTCAGATGATGATTTAAGTGGTTTAGTCTTTGATACAGTTATACATTTTGACCCCTGCAGATGACAACCATCTTTGCCAATTTCCAACCCAATGGTTCACACAAGGGAAAATTACCAGTCTTGGCAAGAGGCAAAGTAGTTTCATCTAATTTATGGCACTTACAATAGGCTGAAGTTTGGACAGGTATCCCGTGGCTAAAAAAATTCTTTGAAAGATTTAAAAAGACCGGTAATTCTCTCCTGATCCGCTAATGTGGTGCCGACCACTTTGCTGTCTATGAGTTTAGAAAACCCTGTTCCCAAGATACTAGCTGGTTTTATAGGAGGAGGGAGAATTGATTGCCTTGCAGTAAACAGGAAAAGAGCTTAAGTGGAAAGTAAAACTTGGGAGCTAAATAAAAGATGACTCCTGAGTTCTTCACTTCAGCTCGGACAGACTTACAGGACTGCCGCAGTGCTCAGAGCCGTCTCCTGCTCTTCCCGGAATCTCTCGTTTTGGACTGTTCATGTTGCACTCGGCCTCCTTGACCAGAAAGAGCTGTTCATCCAAAGCCTCCTTCTGCAGCTGCAGTTTCTGTACATAGCCGGTTTGGGTCTCCAGTTCCTTTTCCAGGGAAAAGATGATCCTGTCCTTGGCTTTAATCTCATCCATCTGAATTAAACGACACCCAGGACATTTTATTTAACAATGCTGTAAAAAAAAATGCATTTTTACAATGGTATGAGTTTAACTTCTTTCTGCTGATTGATACGGAAAAAAAAAATCACAACTGTGACAAGTACATTGAATTTATGAATATGACAAGGCAGTACGGTACAATGAAAGGCTCTCTTAGGCTAATTAGGTGCCAAGGAGAACAACCTTTTCTCTCTGGTATATCCTGTGTAGATGTTTTAATTGAATAATATTGTTTGAAATGGTCCAGGTTGGTTGGAGTTAGAAAAGAAAGGTTGACCTTAAAATGAGTCATTTGTTTTACTAAATACAGATACTCAATAACTCCACTACAGGATTTCCCAGGACAATCGTTGATATCCTCTCCTGTTTAGAGGAATAGCCTTTGAGTTCACCTTAAACAGCAGCAGCCGCTATGAATTGGTCATTTTTTACTGAAGAAGCTTCAGCTTTTGCAGGAGCCTAGTCATTTCCTAAGGTCAATAGGTTTGCATTGAGGTGGTGAATTTGCAGCGAATTCAGGAGAGGATTTGAAACATGGTTCATGTTATGTGGCTCTTTCCATTCTTTTCCACATGTCAGAGCAAATAGCTCTTAGCAAGCATTTTACCATTACTGTCAAAACCATGGTTGGGACAGCAGGAATGGAAAACACCTGGTAATATGAGCCACTGTTGCCCCTCCTACACCTGTGGGATATAATTATTGATCCCAACACTCACTTCTGTTAAGCCTGGGCTTGATCTCGGAATTACGTGCCAACTGAAGGCCATAAACATTCAATACCAATTAATCAGAGTTTCATTGGACTGAAAAATTTTTGCCACTCCTGGTGAGGACTAGTTAAGTTAATGTCTGTAAACAATTTTTGAGGGGAGCACAGCCATCGGGTGAAACCTTTCTTCTCATTTCATTATATTTCATGAGAATATTCAAAATGGGGATAGGATAGAGACATTTAATAAAATTGTATTATACTGTCTCATTTATAATAGATGACTTTGTACAAATCTTTCTTTACTGTGAGAAATTGTTAAATAGTCCCATTTTTCCACATATAAATATCTGTGAGCTGTTGCCTCCCAGTCACATGATTACATTTTAGATCAATTTTGGAAGGATGCTGGGCTAAACTCTGCATGGCCCTATGATATCATCTGATAACTTTGTGAGTATTCAAACACTGTCCTGCTAATTTGGGAATGAAAGCACTGCCTTTATTTTTCTATCTCCTTGTAGAAATTTGAATCCTGTGTTATTCTTAACTGAATGGTACATTCATTTGTTAGACCTGTCATCGATGATGTCATTTACAATTTACCATAGTTCCACACATGCATGCTCCTAGCTGGTTCTGATGTACCCTACCTAAACGAACGTACTGGAAATTATTCCATTACTGCCAATATAATCATCTTCATCATCACCATCATCATAACTAAAATTTACTAATTTTTACTACATTCAAGGCACTATACTCAAAGCTTTATATACCTTATCTCCTTTTATGACAATTCTATTATGTAAGTTCTGTTATCACCACTTTACAGATGACAACTGAGCACCCAAAGGGTTAAAAACTTTGCCATAGGCCTATGGCTCCTAAGTGGTGAAGCTCAATTTTAAATTCAGTCTTCTGACTCCTGAGCCCATTCTAATAGGCACTATGCAATATTGACCCCAGCATCATACTTCCAGCATTTTCCAAAGTAGTTTTCCAGTAGTAACTGGATATTCAAAGTAGAATGTCCAGTAATTAGTGCCGATGAGTCTCTACTGCATAGTGGTTGTAAGCATGGGCTTTGGTTTCAGAATACTGAAAATCCTTCCACAGTTCTAGTTCTTAGATGGGGAGGGGTACATACCAGAATTCCCTGGGGAAATTTTCTAAACAGAACGGCTCCCATTTCCCTGCTTTCCAGTTCCAAAAATGGAGCTGGGTGTAGGGGTAGTGACAAGACAAGAAAAAGAAAAAACTGAAGACAAGTGCATCTGCACTACTGAAAAAGTTTCCCATGATTCTCTGTTTGCAACCAGTTTTTTAACCACTCCTCAGGTAGCTTAGATTTTACACTCTTACTAAGAGAGACTGTGTGTCTACTTTAGTAGTATGCTGGTAAAATCAAGTCACAGAAAGAAACTACAGACCAACAGGTGGATATACTCAGAGTTTATATCCAAAACCATCAACAAACACAAATATTTGATGTACAAAACCCTTTTCATCTACCCACCTGCTAACTCCAGAGTTCACAGTGCTGGTTCTTTCTTCATCAGCCGTTGTCATTTCAAAAACCAAAGGCAGGGCAGAGACCAATATTTCTGCACTGTGTTTGGTCTTTATTGTCAACCAGGGCAATAGAATGAATTGCAGATAAAGAATTTGGAAAGTGTGGAAAAGGCAACAATTTACAGTCACACCGTATTGCAGTACAAAGAAAATTACACATTTATCTTTTTAAAATGTTCTATGATAACCACTTTTACCTAAAATTGAAATCCTAGAGATATAATCCAAGGAATATAATTGGATTCTTAAAAAAATAATTGCTTAGAACCAGCAGACACAGAAAGTGTAGATTTCCTAAGAAAATATTATTGTTATTATTTTTAAAGATCTTATTTTTGAGTAATCTCTACCCCCAACATGGGGTATAAGTCACAACAATGAGATCAAGAGTCGCATGCTCTACCGACTGAGCCTGCCAGGTTCCCAGAAAATACTACTTTTAGAGAAGCATCAAGTACATTCTAATAGGTGAGGGTTAATTTGATAAGATATAACTAAGGCTAAACATTCTGAGTATAAATGCATGTAAATGTGTCTTCTAAAACAATTGAATGTGGTCAACCTAGGCTTTCACATAATACTTTGTTGTTATTTTATGTATAGTGAGAGACCAATGTGGCTTTTGGTGATACGTATTAAAAAGAAAGATCTGGGGCACCTGGGGGGCTCAGCTGGTTAAGTGTCCGACTTCAGCTCAGGTCATGATCTCACGGTTCATGGATATGAGCCCCTCACTGGGCTCTCGGCTGTCAGCACACAGCCTGCTTCAGATCCTCTGTCCCTCTCTCTCTGTCCCTCCCCTGCTCACTCTCTCTCTCAAAAATAAATAAACATTTAAAAAAAGAGAAAAAAAGATCTAACTCTGTAGGCTTTGAAATAAGTCTTAGAAATTGGCAATAGCAAATAAACTACTTAGGAATGACATCCAGTTTAAAAATTATAAGGGCTCCTGCTTAGAATGGCCCTTATTTATTTTGGGAAAGAAGATCTATTTTAAAAATGACTAGGGATCTTATAGCTCTATTTCTTGCTTTCAGACACAGTCCCTGGAAAGAACACAGGTGAATCATTCAGGAAGCTCTCAGTGGCTGCCATTTTCAGATGGCAAAGAAACTTAAAAAGCCATAGAAACTTTCCCTACCCCTTTAAAAACCCAGTAACATTTTATAAATGGAACGCCCGCAAAACATGTCGATTTTAGAAGAGTTCATAAGTTAGAATATTTTTATAGACATTCGAGAAAACAGGAATCATTGAACAGACACTCTCCATACATGTGCGGCTGGAAGAATCCAGTTTTTAGGAGAAAGGTGATTCCAGTGTCTTTTACATTTTACAGTTCCAATTTTGGCCTGGGCCTATCTGTTTATCTACCTACCTGCCTACCTATCGACCCATCTTGTGTTTTGGGTAGAGCACTCGACAAGGGGTGGGCACTCATGAGAGACACCTGGAAAAGTGCGCCCGCGGCGCTCTGACACCTGCCAAGACAATGTGCCCCCGACGCACTGCACTGGGTTACTAACCAGCCTCCGAATATCCCGCTCTGACTCCCACTTGATCTTCGAGATGGCTTCCTGGTGGGACTGATGCTCGCTCCTTAGGTCCCCAGCCTTTATTTTATCCGCTTGGATCATATTGCTGAGAGCCTCGTCCACCTGCTTCTTGGCAGTTTTCAGGTCCGCAATTTCCTGTAGGAGCTTAAGGCGCTCCGCGTCAAACAGTTTCCGGGCCTCCTCCCGGGCCTCGATGGTGAGCGCTGTCCGTACTTTGTCGCTGCTGCCGTCCCGGAGAGCACACAGGGCCGACTTGAGCCTCTGGATCTCCCCATCCCGCAGCTTCACTGTCCTTGACATTTCTTGCTCGTGCTGCTTGATGAGATTCTCCCGCACGGCCTGCAGCTCCTTCATCTTCTCCTCGTGGAGCTTGGCTTTGAGTTCCGTCACCAGGACCGTGTGCTTGCGCTGCTCCAGCTCACGGATCCTCTTTGCTTCTTGAGTCTTCTCTCGTTCAAGCTTAGACACCTGAAGGCAGAGAGGTCAAATGATGAAACGGGAGGAGCCTTCAAGGAAAGCATCTAGAGCTCGGGCCCTCTGGGCTCCTAACCCCTCATCGCTTCCTCCCAGCCGCGGTGTCCTCTGAGGGAAGGGAACCGAAGGGCCCAAAGAGGGAAATACAGCGCAGGTTGAGGAGGAAATACCTGGGGATGCTGTATTACTTTGTGCGGCAGTATCTGATGTTCCTCGGCCTTACTGTCCCATGTGTGGTCTGCAGACAGCCAGCACATGCATCGCCCAGAAGCTTGTCAGAGATGCGCGATCTGGGGCTCCTCCTTCCCAGACCTCTAATCAGGACGTGCATTTTAACAAGTCCCCAGGTGACCGCATGCACATTAAAATTAGGACATGGAGCTATAATGGTTTTCACCTTGGTGGGGAGGAGTTCAAAACAGACCACCTGCACACATTTTCAGGCTACACATTCCCGGCCAGGTGCAAGCTGATTAAATGTGGGCATCTTAGGACTGTTCAATATTACGATCAGATTTGTAAAATGGTGCCCAAAGTGATATTACAAAACATTTCCCCCCTTTTCCCCCTTCCTTTTTGTCTGAGGCACTGGGGGAGGTAAAAAATAAAGACAGTTGATACATTCTGAACATCATGTTTCCTTCTGTGACAACTTAGTTCTACCCCCAGACATTATACATACACACACACACCAGCCAAAAACAGTGCAGATCACTGGGCTGTCTCTGCCAAAGGGGTCTGGTGTCCGGAACTTTCTGCATGGTCCACAGATGTCCCTTTGTGCCCTTCTCTACCTCCACTCTTCTCCCTCTCCTGCTCCCCCAACAACCAACCTGCCAAGCAGTTTAATAACTATTCCTTCCAGCCTTTAGACCTTTCAGGTACTTTGGTTGAACAAAATCTTCTGTGTTTTGTTACATTTGTAACGATAACATAGGTCTTCTTGTAGATTAGCCATGGCACTACCTTAATCTGGTGTGTGAGTCTGGCTCTGATTCAGTAGATCAGGGTGGGGGCCTGGCATTTGTAGCTTGAAAAAGCCTCTTAGCAAATGTTCCTTATTTTTGTCCTCCCCCTGAACCCCACATCTCTGCTGCCTATCTTTGTCTCTCTGCCTCTGCCGTGTACCCAAAGAATCTCTCTCTCCTCTCTCTCTCTCTCTCTCTCACAATAAACTAGAAAAAGGGAAGAATTAGGCAACCCCTGGAGTAATATCTGGTTCAGTGGAATTGGGTCTCTGCCATTTGTAAAATTGGAAGTTTTCGTGAAATAATTGTGAAGAGTCTCTCCAGCTGAAAAATGTTAAGATTCAAACTCCTCATTCAGACTACTGTAATTATAATACAAGCGTGTGAGATTTTACTTACCTTAACAGTTTACCTACCTTTGGCTAGAGCAGGATTTTCTAAGTCCACCTGGCAATTTATGAATATTTTATTTTAAAGGCACAGCAGTTATTCCCACGTTGGTTATTCTAAAAGAACTCAGGGCAAGGAGACGTGGCAAAATAAACAGCCAGGCATCCTTAAATGGCTGTCTTTTGATCTTGCTTCCAACTCAGGCCAAGGTCCCTTCCTGGATGCGTTTTTATTAAATATGCTCTAGAGCTGTGCTATCCAGTCTGGGGACTACTAGCCACACCAAGCGCTTGAAATGCCCCAGGTCAGAATTGAGACTTGCTCTAAGTGAAAATACACACCAAATTTTGAAGTCTTAGTGTAAGACAAAGAATGTAGAAGTCTTAGTAATCGTTTTTATATAGATTAGATGTTGAAATAGTATTTTGGATAAATTGGGTTACATAAAGTATCTTATTAAAACGAGCGCCTGGGTGGCTCAGTTGGTTAAGTGACCGACTTGTGATTTTGGCTCAGGTCACGATCTCGAGGTTCGTGAGATGGAGCCCGGTGTCTGGCTCTGCACTGGCAGCACAAAACCTGCTTGGGATTCTCTCTCCTTCTCTCTCTGCCCCTCCCATGCATGTGTACACACGTGCTCTATGTCTCTGTCTCAAAATAAATATTAAAAAAAAAAAACAAACAATGATCCCTTTTATGTTTTATAATTGTGGTTACAAGAAATTTAAAAATTATATACATGGCTTGCATTTGTGGATCCCATTATATTTCTCCTGGACAGCTTTGGTCTAGGGTTCTTGTGTGTTGAATGAATGAACCTGGCTTTCCCCATGCTGCTGGTGACACTTCTCTTAGTAAAGCCCAAGTCTGACGTGATCTATGTACTTGCTCAAAAATCACCCAGGGCTCCTTTATGTTGTAGAATGGAACCCCTACACCTCAGCTTTGCCTTTCAGGCTCTCAGAATATTTGGCTGGGTGCCTGGGTGGCTCAGTCAGTTGAGCAGCTGACTTCTGCTCAGGTCATGATCTCATGGCTCGTGAGTTCCAGCCCCACATCGGGCTTTTTGCTGACAGCTCAGTGTCTGGAGCCTGCTCGGATTCTGTCTCCCTCTCTCTGCCCCTCCCCCACTTGTGCTCCGACTCTCTCTCTCAAAAGATGAATAAACATTTAAAAAAAAGTGAAAAAAAAGATTCGGCTGGACTTCCAGCTCCCATTTCTGCTTCCTGCTGTACCTCTCCTCACCTGTCCCATACTACAGGCATGATTAAGGGGGATTATGCTCTTTCCTGCACATGCCCTGAATCTCTGTACCCATGTGCCTATGGTTTTCTCTTCCTGACCTACCCTTCCCTCAGCTCTCTTGGGGATCCTATCATCACTCGTGGCCAGCTAGATGTCACCTTCTCCAGTCATACCACCCCGACTGCCCAGGACAAACCTCATTTCTCCTGCTTATGTCTTTTCAGTGCACTTGGCTAATACCCCCTTACTGCTCCTTTCTGCATTTTTCTTTATACTATGGGTATCGTTTTTTGCATGCTTATCTGTCTTCACCACCTCTTCTCCTGCTCCTACTCCAGACTGCAAACTGCTCGAAAGCTGCCAACAAGCCTTGTTCATCTTTGTCTACCCAGTGGTTGCCAGCACAACACATAATAAAGAGCCTGAGAGTGTGTGTGCAATTAAAGAATGTATGCCAGTATGTTTCCCTGGCTAGCCCTCTAACCAGAGGCGAGAATAATACATCCTGTCATATGGTTTAGAGAACACAGACTTGTAGGGTTTCTTGGAGCAACCGCTCATCCATCACTTCCCTGCATAAAACAATCAAAGAAACAAATAAACAAAAGACCATCACATATAAGAATGCCTGTCTTCTGCTTGATAATTCTCTCAGTGCTTCAATAAGGACAACCTAAACCTTACTCCCCATTTTTCTAGAATAAACTCAAGTGACTAGACTATGGGTAGATAAACCACAGCCCATGAGACAAATAATTTCTTGCCTCTATTTTTGTGAATAAAGTTTTACTGGAACACAGTCATGCTCTTGCCACAATGGAGTTCAGCGGTCTCAGAGAGACTGGTCTGCAAAGCCAAAAATCTGTACTATTTTGCCTTCTACAGAAAAAGCTTCCTGATTTCTCTTCTAATAATGCAGTTTTTGTGAAAAAAGAGGGCTTATTTTTCATTGATTTAGAAACTCTGATAATTTACCCTGCACTTGAAGTTAACTTTACTTCAAGTGATAAGAAATTAGTTACCTTCAATTTCAGCAGGTTGTACTTACGTTAGGCCTTTGGAACATCTTGACTATAAAGGCTGGCAGGTAGCAACTTACTTAACGGAAATTTTAGCAGTTCTTTTGAGAACAATAAATAACTAGTAAAAAGGGACAAAGGATAAGTAATTCTGGGTTTGCATTTTTATTTAACAATCTGCTACATCTAAGGAAGTTGCTTTATCCCTCTGAGGATCTTTGGTTATGCTTACAACTTACCCATAACAGGATTATTTTGTGGGTTAAATTAGATAATGCTTGGGAAAGTACCTTGAACTGTAAAGTACTATGAAAAGGAGGGTAATATTACTGACTATAAGAGGAGATATCCAGGACCTAAAATTATTTATGTCAAACTCTTTGCAGGGGTCTTAGATTATTTCACATTGTGATGCTGTCATTTCCGTCAAATTATAAACACTGATCCTTTGTGTGTAGATTGGAGATGAATAAAAAAGAAAAAAAATGAAAATATAGGTATACAGAAAATATATTCCCACCTGAAGAAAAAAACAAACACTGGCCTTCTTGTCCATCACTTAAAGGAATCCATAGAACTCAAAGAAAATTCAAAGGCATTGATTGATTACATTTGACATTTTTCATGTCTGCTTATTTGGTTGCCATAGAAACTGGCATTTTTGCAGAATTTCTAGGTATGACTTGTTTTTCTAAGCTTGGGAGAAGTGTTTGACTATGAAGGAGACACAAAGGATGTGATTGACATTTGGGAGGGAAAAAAAAGCCAATTAAAATTTTTGTAGTAAAATAATTTTCTGAAAATTATTTGCAGCTCAGATTGTACTGGTAAGAAAATGGACTTTACCATCTTAATGTAAATGGTACCCAAAAAGAGAAAAGACTACTCCTGAGTAACAATGAAAAATATAAAGATAATACTTGAAGTAGAAAAAAAAAATACTTGGAAGAAGAAAGAATCCATTTTGATAAGTGGAAATATTTCAGACAAAAATTTCCACTGTATCACATGATAGCATTTATTGGAGGTTTAAGTTTGGCACCTTCCCAAAGGCTTTACACACACCACCATGTTTACCCTCAGCAGCTCTGTGATGTAGGTAACGTCTGTGTCACCTGAACATCATATGAGAAGCGTGAGGACTGGTCTCTGTACAAACAGAGTGTGAAGAAGACTGTGGAGAGACCAGTGTGGGCCAGGAGGCGGGTCTGGGTCAGGTCCTGGACCTGCCTGCTCACTTTGAAACCTCCAGCAAGCTCTTTACCAACCCCAGCCTCAGTTTTCTCATAAGTAAACTGGGATTGGGGGCCTCATTCTCATATGGTTGTGAGGGCTGACTTAGATAATGTTTCAAAAGTCCTTTGCAAAGGCT